CTGGAAACTTGCCATAGGACCTTTACTGTACTATTGTTAATTAACCCTGAACTCCACTTAATACTTTAAACTAAATTGCCCATCTGCACCATTTCTTATTTTTAAAGAAAATTTCAAGATATAAACTGGCTGATTATAGCAAACAGATTCAAATCATTCTACCAGTACAGACCAAGATCAGTCATCAGTTCTGATCCATGGTGTGTACTGGTTGAATTATGGTTTGAATCTGTTGTGGCCAGGAGGCTAAGAATTACCCCTCCACCCCTCCCCCAATAAATAAATAAAATATATGATAATAACTAAAAGGTAAGGTAATTGTCTTACTGCCATTTTACAGACACATCCCAATTGAACATTGTCTTAAAATCAGAAAAATAATTCAAAAGAAAATCTGATTTTTAGCTCGACTATTCGATAAGAATAAGTAGAGCTATTGCAGTCACCCGAGCGTCGGCGTCGGCGTAACCACTTATGTTAAAGTTTTTGTAATAGTTCAAATATTTTCAAAGTCCATTGACATATGGCTTTGAAACTTTGCACACTTGTTCACCATCATGACCCCAACCTGTAGACAGGAGGAGGTAACTCTATCAAGCATTTTGACAGAATTATGCCCCTTTTTCGACTTAGAATTTACGTTAAAGTTTTTGTAATAGTTCAAATATTTTCAAAGTCCATTGACATATGGCTTTGAAACTTTGCACACTTGTTCACCATCATGACCCCAACCTGTAGAAAGGAGGAGGTAACTCTATCAAGTATTTTGACAGAATTATGCCCCTTTTTCGACTTAGAATTTACGTTAAAGTTTTTGTAATAGTTCAAATATTTTCAAAGTCCATTGACATATGGCTTTGAAACTTTGCACACTTGTTCACCATCATGACCCCAACCTGTAGACAGGAGGAGGTAACTCTATCAAGCATTTTGACAGAATTATGCCCCTTTTTCGACTTAGAATTTACGTTAAAGTTTTTGTAATAGTTCAAATATTTTCAAAGTCCATAGACATATGGCTTTGAAACTTTGCACACTTGTTCAACATCATGACCCCAACCTGTAGACAGCAGGAGGTAACTCTATTAAGCATTTTGACAGAATTATGCCCCTTTTTCGACTTAGAATTTACGTTAAAGTTTTTGTAATAGTTCAAATATTTTCAAAGTCCATTGACATATGGCTTTGAAACTTTGCACACTTGTTCAACATCATGACCCCAACCTGTAGACAGGAGGAGGTAACTCTATCAAGCATTTGGACAGAATTATGCCCCTTTTTCGACTTAGAATTTACGTTAAAGTTTTTGTAATAGTTCAAATATTTTCAAAGTCCATTGACATATGGCTTTGAAACTTTGCACACTTGTTCACCATCATGACCCCAACCTGTAAACAGGAGGAGGTAACTGTATCAGGCATTTTTTTTACTATCAAGCACTAAGAATAGTCGAGCATGCTGTCCTACCGACAGCTCTTGTTTAAGTTTACTGTGAAGTATCAGCACATCAGGATTTATGATTTTGCCACAGATCATGCCATTTTTATGATAATGCATAAGGAACTTGTTTGACTCTGGGCAGGTGAAGAGAAAGAAGAATATGAAATAATTTGTCATAAAAAGTAGCAAAATAATAGTCGTTAAATGATTTGTTTGTGTGCCCCCACTTTAGGGGGGTGGGGCATTTAGATATACCCTTGTCCGTCCGTCCATCTGTTCTCTATTGTGTCGCACATAGCTCAAAAAGCATTTGACATAGAATCATGAAACTTAAAGAAAAATGTTGATCAGTATGTGCAGATGTGCACCGGGGTAACTTCAGGTGGATATCACATTTATTTAGAATTTTTAGAGTTATTGCCCTTGACTTAGTAAAAATTTAGAATTTTCAACTTGTGTCGCTCATAACTCAAACAAATTTGACCTAGTGTCATGAAACTTTACAGTAATGATGAACAGCATTTGTAGTTGTGCACCTCGGTATTTTCTTGTGGATATGTTTAGTTTTTTAAGAGTTATTGCCCTTGACTTCTTGAAAATTTAAGATTTTCAACTTTTGGCGCACATAACTCAAAAAGTATTTAATCTAGTGTCATGAAACTTTACAGGATTGTTGCTCAGCATATGAAGTTGAGCACCTGGGGTTTCACTTGTGGATTTATTCTGTTTTGTCAGCTTTATTGCCCTTTACTTAGTGAAAATTGCTCCATTATGCCGGTTATTTGTTCCTCGAGTGCCCAAGTTAGAATCAACCAACTTTACAGGAATAATGATCAACATCACTGTGAAGCTATGCACCTGGGGTTTGCCATGTGGATGTTTTTTTTTTCAGTTTTGTTAGAGTTATTGCCCTTGACTTGGTATAAATTTGCAATTTTCAACTTGTTCATGCATAACTCATAAAATATTTGACCTGTAGGTCTGAAGGTTTACAAGAATGTTGGTCAGCACACCTTGGGGTTTGCTTGTGGATTTATTCAGTATTTGTTAAGTTTTTGCCCTTGGCTTAGTAAACGATTTTTAGTTTTCAACTTGTGGCACATGTTGCCTAAAAAATATTTGACCTAAATCATAACATTGACAAAACAGTGGAGTGTGGGGGCACCCATGTCCTATGGATACATTTCTAGTTCTTCTATGCAAAATACTAAATTAGTATTACTTTTGTATAACCATTAAGACCAAAAATAAAATTCAAGATCATTCAGATAAATGAACAACTAATAACATTTCAGAAAATATGACAAAACAGGAAAGATTAAAAACTTTTGAGAAATAAAAATAATATAATTTTTGCGACTTAATTAGCCTTTTCCCTAACAAAGCTACATTATCTTCAATGGACTTTTCCATTTTTCATTCTTTTAACAAAACCATGATTTTTTGGCAAAAATTTAACAATATTTATTGACTGAATAGTGAACAGTGCAGACCATGATAAGATAACACAGACATGCTGGCTGATCTTGGTCTGCACTAGTTGCATAGGTATTTTTCCATTTGCCACCTAACCTGGCTTAAACTAGTTAATTAACATTTCAGCCTTAAGGGACTGTGTCATGAAACTTTTACAATTAATAAGCGTAGTTCAAATTTGTAATCTTGCGTAACTGTAATACAGAAAATAACAAAGCCTGTGGATGAAATGATGATTAAAAATTAATTAAGCATTATGAAAAGGATTTTTTTTATTGACATTTCTTCTTGCAAAGTATATTGAATTTAAAATGTTTAGTTGGGAGTTGTGGAAATTTGAACATAACTTTCTTTTCAGAGCCTAATGTTTAACTGCTGTATACCCTCATGCAAGATTATCCTGTGACTCAGTTGAATTTCTAATGACATATTGTAAAAGAAGTATAAGTTATGACAATAAAGGATGAAAAGAAGCATTTTTAGCTAAATTGCATAGAAACAAAAGAGTCCAGTCAAATCTGGCCTCAAGGTTATAAAACTTTTTTTCTGAGTTCTGTCTCAAATCTCATGATTTCCATTGGTCAGTGTATATTCTGTGGCATTTTTTGACCAATCAGATACCTGAGATCTGAGTTTGAGCTAAGAGAATTTTTTTATAACCTTCGACCCTGGTCTTTATGCCACTGGTGTGAGACTCTTATAAAATTTTATTTATTATTCAAGCTGTTACATAGAAAGTAATACTTTACTTATATAACTCAATACAATCTATATTCTTTGAAGTTTCAAAGCACTCATGCCTGCTCTAATTCTTTTGTCTGTTTTTGATACTTAATACATGTATTGTGTTGCTTACAGTCAAGTTTTACATAGTAGTATAGTTACCTTTTGTAATATTAAACAAGGATTAAATACAACTGAAACTTATTTTGTAGCAAATTACTCGGATGCACATTGTACAAAATGCAATATTACTGATTTTGATATGACATGATATTTTCATTATTTAAAATCTTGTCCATGAATTGAGATAAAAATGATGTCTTTTTAATTAATGGTTGGTCCATTTAAGCCTAAAATGCTAGTGTTTTTATTGTTCAATAGATTTTTATTATAGATACCGTAGTGCTCTATTACAGTTTCCAAAAAGATACTCCTTGGCATAAGTAAAATTACATTTGAATTGATATTGAATTTTCTAATGTCACTGAAAAGACCAGGTGTATTGTCCTGAAATTTCTGCTGGAAAAAGGGGGACAACGTGAATTGACTCAGAGCTTTAAAGATTCACTGTCCCCTGATGGGTGCCAGATTATAGGGCAGCCTGACTTGAACTCAAACCGGGGACCTTGAGATTACAGCAGCATTGTTCGTAACCAACGAAGCAATCAGTCCCCTTATTAGTGAATATAGGTCTGTACCATGACAAATTTTCTGTACCGTGACAAATTTTCATCAAATTATTGAAATTGTTCCACAAATTTCTCAAGGATACAGAGAAGTCTTTCATGGACTTTGGAACTATAAACCAGCAAAGCCCATTGTTGGGCACATGTGTCACACTGGGTGAGAAAAATTTGGAGCCTGATAGGGTCTCAAGCCAGGTACCCTCTGATTACCATGACTAACATGTTTTCTTCTGCTATTAGTAAACAGTTTTTTACCATGACACTTTATTATCGTGTGATCTAATATGTTTGTAAAGGTATTGTATGGTGATAAATAATCTCTCTATTGAGGACTAATTAAATAATTCTTAATTTTTTGTTAACATGCTGGACTTAACCATTCAGTTGATTTATGCACAGATTGATTATAACAGTGGCCATGACAACCCCGAGCCACCCCAATCCCTTTTTTTCCACCCACCCCACACCCTTTACTGACCACAATAAATAAATATGAACAAAGTTCTTGGTGTTTAAAAACCAGATGTTGAGATGGCCATATCCTCATTGAAATTTTATTTATATTTTGGCCTAAATCAAGGGAGGTAACACTTACAGTCACACTAAGCTATCCTGCTATCTAAGTAGGTCATGTTGTACTAATTTATGTACAATGAATATGCACTTCTAGTTATCAGCTGACAGTAGTCGGATGCATGTTTTATAAAACTTTAACACAGGATTGTTATTTATGGTTAACCTCTCGACTCAATTAATGATTTATATTGTGTGCAGAGAAAATGGAGTAAAGCACTGTTCTAAGTGAATTATAATCAAACAGACTGTTGACTGTGTCTGCAAAATTTATGATCTAATCAGAGGACCATTTTCTTATGAAGTTTTAATTTAATTTTGTGTGCAAGTTCATGAATTGTGTTCTGCAGAGATAGATAATAGAAACATCACATTTGAATTGTTTAAATTTTTTAAAGCTATAATTATAAAAGTATTAAGATTACTTTTATCTGGAATTATTTATGTATAGCTAGTTATTATAACATCTTTTTAAGTTAACCTAATATTGAACAATAAATGTTTATAACATTACACTACATGGATATTTATATTATATTAAAATCTGCGTACACTTTAATCTTGTTTCATGATACCCTTATGTATGAAAATGTATTGAAAGTAAAGGATAGTTTAGTTGCTTTGTATTTTTAAATAGAAAACACAATTTTTGCTTGAAAGGAATTGCAATAATGATATCGTAATTGATGACAAACTGGTATCTTAATTGTTTATCAATTTGAAATATTGCAAAAACATTATAACATTGTTTGGAATAAATTTGCAAGATATAGATAGAGCAGAAAGGTTGAATGATATTAACATTTATATTATGATGAATTAATTTTTCTGTGCTACTGATTCTGAAAGGTGTTATGGAGTTATATTCTAATATACTGTTAACTGTATGGTGGTGTTGTTTATTTGTTGGAGGAACGGAGATTTCACAGCTGACTCCATGTTCGGCAAAAATTGACGGGAAAATAATCAGCTTACAATATATCAAACACAGGTAATGACACTAATACTGCACAAGACATTTTTTCTATCCATATAAATGTGAGCCGCTTTTACAACTTGAAGAAGGACCTCTTAACATTTCCAAAAATGCTAGCTTCACAACTGAAAGTAAATTAGTGTTACAAAAAAATTTCAAGGCTTTATTTGAAGCAATTTTTTCCAATTACGGTATGTTAAAATAGATTTTTTTACATAATTATGATGCCAGAGTAAGTTGACATATGTATTGCAAGCTAATGTTTTTTGTTTAACCATGGAAATAAAGGAGTTATAAATTAAGTTTTAACAAAGTATATACATATTGCTATTGCTCTCACAATTTAAAGAAAAAATGCCTTAAAAAATGCTTTGAAATTTCACAATTTCAAGAAAAAATGTGATGCTAGTGTTCCACAAATCAGAAAGGCCCTACCCTATGGGAAAGAAGCCCTATTACATTTTCTGCAAAACAAACAACCCAGACTTGATACATCATGTATGTAGTAACCTCTCACAAAAGGCCACGTCCTTATTACAATCCAATTGTTTACAATTTTGCAGACTTACCTAAGTTCTAATGTTTTAATTTTATTACCCCATCTATTCTTTTTTTAGAGCCAGGCCCTGTGCAAAATTTTTGGGAAAGAATCCATATAAATTAAAAATTTTATTGATAACTGAAGTCTTGATAGAAATTTGATTCAAAACTACAAAACAAACCACCCTGACTAAATACATCATGTATTTTATAGTAACCTCTCACAAAAGGCCACCTCCTTATTATCCAATTGTTAACAATTTTGGCAGACTTTACAAGTACTAATGTTATAAATTAGTAAAATTACCACATCTATCTTGTTCATATTATATTAATGACGACTTTCTCTATTTTATAAGGCTTATGTTTTTGCAGAGCATGTGATAAAAAACATTTTTTGCAGGTAACTAGTAATGTATTATTGTCAGGTTTTATTTATTACTACTAAAATTCAGCCAGTATATTGTTAGTATATTATTAGAGAGCATGTACAGGTTTGTGGAAATAATTATCTTTAGTGACTGAGGAATTATTCCATAAGTCTTGAAGAAGATACTGCGCTATTCTGTCTGTACTTTAGATGATGTTTTTACATGATTTTTTATCATTCTTTGTTGTTGTTTATATCATTCATATGACTGTGTAATGTTGTCATATTTTCATCTTTCATCATTAACCACTTGGCCACTGTTCCCTTCGATTACGAAAATTCAGTAGGTATAAGCAAACCTACATTTCAAAGTGGACTTGCCCTTTTGCCAATTAATGGGACATTCCATGGTTTAAATGTGAGGGATTTTTGTATCAAAAATTCTAAAATTGATGACAGCAAGCAGTATGAAATAGTGAAAAGTATCCATGATATAATTCAGGAGATCTGACACAATGATCATGATAGATTTATAAAAATGGTACAGTCTTGGCATTATTCTGTTCATGATTATGTCAAAATTTATAAAATAAAAATATAAATTAGCTTCTTTTTTTATATATGAAAGCATTTGCCATTATATAAGTTGTTTTTATGATATATATAAATAAATTGAACGCCAGCTTGAGAAAATGACCCTTAGCGTTATTTTATAAATGATGTCAAAAGATGTTAATATTGACATTGACGTTAAATATAAAAAAAGGGAAATTACTCTTGAATACAAATATGTAACAATAAGCAAATTTCATAAGTTATTTATTTATTTCAAGAGATATGGAATTGAATATCATAAACATGATAAAGAATTCAAAATAAGTGAATCGGAAAATAGAACATGACGTTTAGGGGTGTTTTCTCAACCAGGCGGATGAGGCTGTCAATTGATATTGATAAAATGATAAAATAATGTATATAATTTCAGTCTAAATGGGAAATATGGTGAAGAGCCTAACCAATGGAATTATACTTACAACCCTTGTTTTAAGTTCAGCAAACCGGAGCGAGCCAATGACGGGTTTGGTGATAAATGCTTGGCTGTATCGGTAAGTTTATTCGATGATTTTTATTTTCTCTTTGTATCTGCTGGAACTGAAGTAGTTCTGGCTAAAATCCATAACATTTAATGTCGCTATAATTTTGACATTGTAGAGCAGTAAACAGGGTTAGCAATACTATAAAATCTGTTCACTTAAGCCTCTTTAGCTAGAAGGTGATTTAAGCTATTGCTACCAGTATAAATTTTGTGTCGCCTTTACGGAGAAGTGGCGACATATAGGGATCACTTCAACCGTGTGACCACACTACCGAATAGGGATAGGGGGCCATCTAACTGTAAACAGAACAAAAGAGAACAATAGAGTTATACGTAACAATAGAGTAAGGGGTCATCGGCCCTCTATTAAACAAAAGAAAATAACAAAAGAAATGGCCCCTTATTCCATTTCTGTCTGTCTGTCTGTCAAAAATCTTGTCCAGACAACTCCTCATAAACTACTGGTGCAATTTCATCTAAAGTTTACAGGAATAATCAGTACCAAGTCTAGATGTGCATATCATTAGCATTTTCAGGTTCAATGATTTTTGTCCGAGTTATGGCCCTTTTATAATTTTTATTTTTAAAGTTTGTGTGGATTACTCCTCTTATACCACTACTACAATTTCAATAAAACTTTAATGGATTGATATGTAGCTCAAGTCCTTGCACATATTGCATACTGGTTTTCCTGTTGAATGATTTTTGGCCGAGTTATTGCCCTTTAATAAAAAAAGTGTTTTTTTTCTGTGTGTTGCCAGATACACAAAAACCCGGACTACTTCTCAAAAACTACTGGTGCAATTTCATCCAAACTTTACAGGAATGATCAATACCAAATCTAGATGTCTGGAATACTTCTCATATGCCATTAATGCAATTTCAATGAAACTTTACAGGATTGACTTGTAGGTCAAGTACTTGTGCATTATACACAAGTTTTTTTGCTTGAATTATTTTTGGCTGAGTTATTGCCCTTGAATAAAAAAGGTGTTTTTTGTGTTGCCAGCTACGCAGAAGTTTCCTCAGAAACTACTGGTGTAATTTCATCAAAATTTTAGGGGAATGATCAATACAGTGTCTAGTAGTTGTTGTGCATCACATCAACATTTTTCCGTTCATTAATTTTTGTCAGAATTTTTGCCCTTTCATGATTTTAATTTTAAAATTTGTCTAGACTTATTGTAACTCCTGTTATACCACTTATGCAATTTCAATGAAACTTTACACTGGATTGATCAACAGCTCAAATTTTTAGGTTGAATGATTTTTTGCCAATTTATGGCTATCATAGGGCGACATGTGTCATCACTGATGGCCCTTGTTGAATTTTAATACAGAAATTCATAAACTTTTTTTAAAATTCAAAGAAGGTCAAACCCATTAATAAAACCAATAAGCAGCCAATATAGCAGGTTTAAGGTATACATGTATTATACACAGATATGAGTGCTTGCAAATATGATGTCAAAAAAATCTTAATATAAGCTGTTTTGAAAAAAAAAATCATAAAATTATTTCAACATCTATATAATAGACGTTGAAATATGATTTTTTTTCAAAACAGCTTATGATATAAAAAAATAATATGATAAGTACAAGTCATGTGCTGGAATTGACAAATATACATTTTATTTAATAGATTTTAAAGGCATTTTGTCATAACAGTGATATAGAAGATCCAAGGACTGGGGATGCCCAGGACCCTGGATCTTAATTATTTCAAATAATTTAAAAATGTCAAAATTTAGGCTGGTATAACCTGATAACTCTAATTATATTCTAAATCTTGATTTTGTCACTATGTATTTGATGTAATATGAATTATTAATTTTCCTATATGTTAAAAAAACAATAATAGGAGTTTTCAACCACTGTCATGTGGTACTAAACACAACTTTGATGCAAGGAATTCATTTTAATAATTTAAAAAAAAGTATATCTAGGTCTCCAAGAAAAGCTAGTGATGTGTATGTTTTTAAAGCAGTCTGTCAAAATATGCACATTTAAAAAAAAAAAAAATTGATTTCTTTCCACTAGCTATCTTATATAGTTGAAGAGAAAATTTTGAAATTCTTACAATTTATAAATAGATTTTCTATTCACTTTTGGAGACATGCATTATACATGTGAACTTTTTTCAATGATCAAGTGGGAGATTTTTCTTCAAAAAGAGGGAGATTATAGAATTTGGAATAAACAAAGAAGAATGTTCTGATATCAAAAAGAGGGAGATTTCTAAATACCCCTTATTTTAAGAAAAGTCTTTGAAGCTATGGCTGCAGAAAGTGGGTGTCTCCTGCTTAAAGTGGGAGGGTTCACATGTATGGACATGCTGCTTTAAGCTAGCAACTGCCTGATTTTTGCAAATGTATTAAATCTGCCGATATCAAGATTTTTATGAACTACTAAATCTTAAAGATTTATTGACTTTTATAAATTACTAAATTCTAGAGGTAATAAATTTTTTGTTAACTACTAAAATCTATTGATATTCAAATGGTACAAATTTGTGCTAATGGCTAAAATCTAGAGATGTCATTATTTTCTAAATGTTTAGATCTCGAAATATTGTTTAATTGAACTTCAGTAGTCTAACCTTAACCATTGACAGTCTTGCCAATGATTGTACTTGAGTAGTCTGACCTTAGCTAATGACAGTGTTGCCAATTATTGTACTTGAGTAGTCTGACCTTAGCTAATGACAGTCTTGCCAATTATTGAACTTAAGTAGGCTGACCTTAGCTGATGACAGTCTTGCCAATTATTGAACTTAAGTAGTCTGACCTTAGCTAATGACAGTCTTGCCAGTTATTGAACTTAAGTAGTCTGACCTTAGCTAATGACAATCTTGCCAATTATTGTACTTGAGTAGTCTGATCTTAGCTAATGACAGTGTTGCCAATTATTGTACTTGAGTAGTCTGACCTTAGCTAATGACAGTCTTGCCAATTATTGAACTTGAGAAGTCCTGACCTTAGGTAAAATGACAGTGTTGCCAATTATTGTACTTGAGTAGTCTGAACCTTAGCTAATGACAGTCTTGCCAGATTATTAAACTTGAGTAGTCTGACCTTAGCTAATGACGAAGTCTTGCCAATTATTGAACTTTCAGTAGTCTAACCTTAACCATTGACAAGTCTTGCCAATGATTGGTACTTGAGTAGTCTGACCTTAGCTAATGACAGTGTTGCCAATTATTGAACTTGAGTAGTCTGACCTTAGCTAATGACAGTGTTGCCAATTATTGTACTTGAGTAGTCTGACCTTTACTAATGACGGTCTTGCCAATTATTGAACTTGAGTAGTCTGACCTTAACTAATGACGGTCTTGACAATTATTGTACTTGAGTAGCCTGACCTTAGCTAATGACAGTGTTGCCAATTATTGAACTTGAGTAGTCTGACCTTAACTAATGACAGTCTTGTCAATTATTGTACTTGAGTAGTCTGATCTTAGCTAATGACGGTCTTGCCAATTATTGAACTTGAGTAGTCTGACTTTAGCTAATGACGGTATTGCCAATTATTGAACTTGAGTAGTCTGACCATAGCTGATGACAGTCTTGTCAATTATTGTACTTGAGTAGTCTGATCTTAGCTGATGACAGTGTTGCCAATTATTGAACTTGAGTAGTCTGACCTTAGCTGATGACAGTGTTGCCAATTATTGAACTTGAGTAGTCTGACTTTAGCTAAATGACGTCTCTTGCCAATTATTGAACTTGAAGTAAGTCTGACTTTAGCTGATGACGCGTGCTTGCCAATTATTGAACTTGAGTAGTCTGACCATAGCTGATGAACAGTCTTGCAATAATTGACTTGAGTAGTCTGATCTTAGCTAATGACGTAGTGCTTGCCAATTATTGAACTTGAGTAGTCTGACTTTAGCTAATGACAGTCTTGCAATTATTGAACTTGAGTAGTCTGACCATAGCTGATTGACAGTCTTGCCAATTATTGAACTTGAGTAGTCTGATTCTTAGCTAATGACAGTCTTTAAGCCAATTATTGAACTTGAGTAGTCTGACCTTAGCTAGATGACAGTGTTGCCAATTATTGAACTTGAGTTAGTCTGACCTTAGCTAATGACAGTGGTTGCAATTATTGAACTTGAGTAGTCTGACCTTAGCTAATGACAGTCTTGCCAATTATTGAACTTGAGTAGTCTGACCTTAGCTAATGACAGTCTTGCCAATTATTGTACTTGAGTAGTCTGACCTTTGCTAATGACAGTGTTGTCAATTTTTGTACTTGAGTAGTCTGACCTTAGCTAATGATAGTTTTGCCAATGATTGTACTTGAGTAGTCTGACCTTAGCTAATGACAGTGTTGCCAATGATTATACTTGAGTAGTCTGACCTTAGCTAATGAAAGTCTTGCCAATTATTGTACTTGAGTAGTCTGACCTTAGCTAATGAAAGTCTTGCCAATTATTGTACTTGAGTAGTCTGACCTTAGCTAATGACAGTGTTGCCTAATTATTGAACTTCAGTTAGTCTGACCTTAGCTAATGACAGTGTTGCCAATTATTGAACTTTCAGTAGTCTGACCTTAGCTAATGACAGTGCTTGCCAATTATTGAACTTGAGTAAGTCTGATCTTAGCTAATGACAGTTGTTGCCAATTATTGAACTTCAGTAGTCTGACCTTAGCTAATGGACAGTCTTGCCAATTATTGAACTTGAGTAGTCTTACCTTAGCTGAATGACAGTCTTACCAATTATTGAACTTGAGTAGTCTGATCTTAGCTAATGACAGTCTTGCCAATCTATTGTACTTGAGTAGTCTGACCTTAGCTAATGACAGTGTTGCCCATTATTGTACTTGAGTAGTTCTGACCTTAGCTAATGACAGTCTTGCCAATTATTGTACTTGATGTAGTCTGACCTTAGCTAATGACAGTGTTGCCAATGATTATTACTTGAGTAGTCTGACCTTAGCTAATGAAAGTCTTTGCCAATTATTGTACTTGAGTAGTCTGACCTTAGCTAATGAAAGTCTTGCCAATTCATTGTACTTGAGTAGTCTGACCTTAGCTAATGACAGTGTTGCCAATTATTGAACTTGAGTAGTCTGACCTTAGCTAATGACAGTGTTGCCAATTATTGAACTTCAGTAGTCTGACCTTAGCTAATGACAGTCTTTGCCAATTATTGAACTTGAGTAGTCTGATCTTAGCTAATGACAGTGTTGCCAATTATTGAACTTCAGTAGTCTGACCTTAGCTAATGACAGTCTTGCCAATTATTGAACTTGAGTAGTCTGACCTTAGCTGATGACAGTCTTGCCAATTATTGAACTTGAGTAGTCTGATCTTAGCTAATGACAGTCTTGCCAATTATTGCTACTTGAGTAGTCTGACCTTAGCTAATGACAGTGTTGCCAATTATTGAACTTCAGTAGTCTGACCTTAGCTAATGACAGTGTTGCCAATTATTGAACTTCAGTAGTCTGACCTTAGCTCATGACAGTCTTGCCAATATATTGAACTTGAGTAGTCTGATCTAGCTAATGACAGTGTTGCCAATTATTGAACTTCAGTAGTCTGACCTTAGCTGATGACAGTCTTGCCAATTATTGAACTTGAGTAGTTCTGACCTTAGCTGATGACAGTCTTACCAATTATTGAACTTGAGTAGTCTGATCTTAGCTAATGACAGTCTTGCCAATTATTGTACTTGAGTAGTCTGACCTTAGCTAATGACAGTGTTGCCATTATTGAACTTGAGTAGTCTGACCTTAGCTGATGACAGTCTTACCAATTATTAACTTGAGTAGTCTGATCTTAGCTAATGACAGTCTTGCCAATTATTGAACTTGAGTAGTCTGACCTTAGCTAATGAAAGTCTTGCCAATTATTGAACTTGAGTAGTCTGATCTTAGCTAATGACAGTGTTGCCAATTATTGTACTTGAGTAGTCTGATCTTAGCTAATGACAGTCTTGCCAATTATTGAACTTGAGTAGTCTGACCTTAGCTAATGACAGTCTTGCCAATTATTGAACTTGAGTAGTCTGACCTTAGCTAATGACAGTCTTGCCAATTATTGTACTTGAGTAGTCTGACCTTAGCTAATGAACTTGAGTAGTCTGATCTTAGCTAATGACAGTCTTGCCAACTATTGAACTTAAGTAGTCTGACCTTAGCTAATGACAGTGTTGCCAATTATTGAACTTGAGTACTCTGATCTTAGCTAATGACAGTCTTGCCAATTATTGAACTTGAGTAGCCTGACCTTAGCTAATTACAGTGTTGCAAATTATTGAACCTGAGTAAGTCTGACCTTAGCTAATGACAGTCTTGTCAATTATTGAACTTGAGTAGTCTGACCTTAACTAATGACAGTGTTGCCAATTATTGAACTTGAGTAGTCTGACCTTAGCTGATGACAGTCTTGCCAATTATTGAACTTAAGTAGTCTGACCTTAGCTAATGACAGTCTTGCCAATTATTGAACTTAAGTAGTCTGACCTTAGCTGATGACAGTCTTGCCAATTATTGAACTTAAGTTACAAGTCTGACCTAAACTAAATGACAGCCTTGTTAATAATTGAATTTGATCTAACTAATACTCAGCCATTAAAGTGCAGGTCTAACTTCAAAATATTTACATTAAAAATGATAAGCTGGGTCAAAATAAGTTCAAAAGCGGTCATAAACCTTACAAAAAGATTAAAGATTTCGACTGTTCCTGAGCTAAACTATACTGCAATATTTTTTAAATTGTCATCCATGTCAAGGATCAGATTCTAACTTGTTTATATTTTAACATTAAGTATCAAAATAACAAATTAAATCTTTTATGTCATATTTGGTTTCATTAGCTGTTCATATAACAAATATTACAAAAAATTCTTAAAATTTAGGCTTTATTACATTATAAAATCTATGTAAAATTTAACCGCTATTTCAGGGATAATCAGAATTTATATGTTTTTTTAGCTTGACTATTTGATAAGAATAAGTAGAGCTATCCTAGTCACCTGAGCGTCGGCTCAGTGTCGGCGTAAGCGTAACCGTTTATGACACCTCAAATTTTTTTAAAGTCCATTGATAGGAGGAGGTAACTCTATTAAGCATTTTGACTGAATTATGCCCTTTTTCGACTTAGAATTTACGTTAAAGATTGCGTACTACCTAAAATATTTTCAAAGTCCATTGACACATGGCTTTGACACTTTGCACACTAATGTTCACCATCATGACCCCAACCTGCAGACAGGAGGAGGTAACTCTATTAAGCATTTTGACAGAATAAAGCCCCTTTTTTGACTTAGAATTTACGTTAAAGTTTGTGTACCACCTCAGATATTTTCATATTTTATTGACATCTTGCTTTGAAACAAGTTGAAATTCTATACACTTCTTTGAGAGCATTATTGGACTCTCTCCAAGGCATATAACTGTAACATGGATTTGTAAAAAAAAATTGGCCCTTTTGTGAACTAAAATGTTACATTATCAAGGCTTTTTTACTATCAAGCACTAAGAAATTTAGTCGAGCGTGCTGTCCTACTGACAGCTCTTGTTAAATGTCTATATTTTAAGATTATACAATTAATTGACTTTAAATATGTATAAAGTAAGTCAAGATACATTTACAAGTTCTGAGGTTTAAAACTAGATTATATCCAAAAAAAAATTAAGAATGAACTAAATTATGGACACTAAAATTGTTATATTATATATTGACCCACATTGTATATACGGTTTAAAACTGTTTGTCATTTTAAAACTTTTAAAATTGAATTTTTTAAAAATCCCTTTTTTTTAAAATTTACTCCATTTGATTACTTAAAAAATTAAAATTTTTTATTACCCTGGTTTTTCCATTTTATTACCCTAAATTTTCATATTAATGAGTAAATTGTCATATTTAAAATATTCACTTTTGTTTTTTTTCTTTCCCCTGCGGGAACCCTTTAAAGTGATTACCCCTAAAGGGTTTTCCCCACAAAAATTTTATAGAATAAAACCCAAAAATTTCCCCATTTTTTTTTATATTACTGCATTTTTGTAGGTTTTTTGGCAAATTTCATGATTTTTATATAGTTTTTTAATTCAGGGTTTATTCTTTTTGTAAAAAAAATCTCACTTTTTCCTCTAAATAAGGGAAGTTTGTGTATTATAAATTTCGTTAAAAGATTTTTAGATAGGTTTGTATCCAGGCCTTAAATACTAACCCCTTGGGGGCCTTGGGTTGCCATTAAGGGTTTATATGGGGCTTTATTATAAGCCCTTTGGGGCTCGGGCCACTAGGGTTTTACAGGAAAACAATCATTTATGTGGGCCAAACCTGTCAAAAAATTTCTTTTAAACTAATTTAACCTATACAGTTGTGTATATTTACAAAGACAGAAGGAGCCTTTACAATTTGCACTCCTTTGGTTTTTTAAACCCTGGATATTAGCCCCCTTGTCAAATTTTTAACCATCGTTAATAGAGCGGTAATTTGCCTTTGATTAGCTTTTTTATACAATGTCGCTTACGCAAGGTTGTGACAATTACTGTTACTATGTTTAAATGCATGGTTAAATTGTTAATTTCCTGCAGATTTTTTTTATTTATCAGTAACTCAATATTATATCAGCGTAATTTATTTTGTTTAATATTTCAGTTATGTAAGTATGGTCGGCAAAACAAGAGAGAGTATTATTACACTTTGGGTTTCCATGGCGATGCTGAATTTGTTGCTCAGAATGATGGCAATAATACAAATGTGTTGATCTATTATGATGGATTTAGGTAAAAAAATGTGCCGGGTCATGACAAAACCAACATAATGTGTTTGCGACCAGCATGGATCCAGACCAGCCTGCGCATCTTCGCAGTCTGATCAGGATCCATGCTGTTCGCTATCAGTTTCTCTACTTGTAATAGGGTTTTTAAGCGAACAACATGGATCCTGATCAGACTGCACGGATGCGCAGGCTGGTCTGGATCCATGCTGGTCGCAAACCCATTATGTGGGTTTTGTCATGATGCGACTCAAATTTTTATTTTCATTTTCAAAGTCTAGCATTGTTTGTTTAATTTAACAGAACAGAACAGAGTATATAATTGGCATTAAATTTGAACCATATTTATACCCATACTAATATAATTATACATTGTTTAAACACATATTTAAGTCAGTGAAGTAAAAGTGTTTCTTGAATTTCTATATTTTCAGGTCCATGAAAGGTAAACAGACGTATGTTAGACTAATCTGTGACAGGGAGAGATTACTACCAGATCAGGCAAGGTTCACTGTGCTCAAAGATATGAAAGGTCTAGGAAATGTGGTAAGTCTCCTTAGTTTATACAGAAATTATTTCAGTTCGATTGTCTAGGAAGCTATAAGCTTATAGACACACTTTCGAATCCTTTCCTGGAACCAACCAGTACTGAGCAATAAGTATACAAAGTGTTTTGCTCAAGGAAACAACAACTTGTGCTTGACATGGTTTAAACCTATGCTGCTAGCGATCATTAGATCAGTAGTCTGATGTCTTGACCACTCAGTCATGCCACCACTAAGTCTCCGAAAGGGAGGTTCAAAAGCCTAAAAACATCAAGAGTGTAGGACATTAAAGCCCTAGCCGACAAAATCCCTCCCGTAATTTAAGGACAGGAAAGCTTGTGTCCGGGAGGACTTTTGTCCATTTCCCAAGCATCAAAGTTGAATTTCTTACATAGATCAACTACGGCACTTTAAACAGAAAGATATGCAAATGAATATTAAGAAAAATATACTCAGAAATAAATGTAAAATGTAAAATGTAAAAATGTATTTTTGTGCTATTCTTATCCTGATTTGAGTGTAAAGTATTGCAATGCTTTTCAATTTTGGGTCATTTTAGGCAAATGGAATTATTATTCTGCAAAAACCTAGGTAGATTCACTTTAGCAATGTATATCAGAGCATTTAGACACAGAGCATTTAGACACAGAGCATTTAGACTTGTCCTATACTGTGAGTACCTTAAGTCCCATTAACAATTTTCTGCCAGAAATCATCATTATAAAATAACCATCAACTTGAAGGGAAAATAATATGAATTGCAAGCGACAGAAACTTATGACATGTATTCACTTTATATAAAAATGTTAAGAAATGTTAAAAATGATGGTAGAAAATGCACAAGTTTAAAAAAAGTCTTATTTCAAACCAAAATCATTATTTGTTCACCAAAACCCAATTTCGATTTTTCTATTTTTAGCTCGACTATTCGAAGAATATGAGAGCTATTGTAGTCGCCCCGGCATCGGCGTCAGCGTCCGCGTCGGCGTCTGCGTTGGTTAAAGTTTTTTGTAAAGTCAAATATCTCAATTATTACTTGAGATATTCAATTGAAACTTACAATACTTATTTATAGTAACAAGGTACATCAGATTGACAAGTTGGATAACTCTGCCTACAATATTGACAGAATTATGCCCCTTTTTAACTTAGAAATTTTGGTTAAAGTTTTTTGTAAAGTCAAATATCTCAATGATTGCTTGAGATATTCAATTGAAACTTACAATACTTATTTATAGTAACAAGGTACATCAGATTGACAAGTTGGATAACTCTGCCTACAATATTGACAGAATTACGCCCCTTTTAACTTAGAAATTTTGGTTAATGTTTTTTGTAAAGTCAAATATCTCAATTATTGCTTGAGATATTCAATTGAAACTTACAATACTTATTTATAGTGACAAGGTACATCAGATTGACAAGTTGGATAACTCTGCCTACAATATTGACAGAATTATGCCCCTTTGGAACTTAGAAATTTTGGTTAAAGTTTTTTTGTAAAGTCAAATATCTCAATGATTGCTTGAAATTTAAAATACTTATTTATAGTGACAATGTACATCTGTTTGCAAAATTGCATAACTCTGCCTAAAATATTTGCAGAATTATTTGCCCCTTTGAAACTTAGAAATTTTGGTAAAAGATTAAAGGTCTTCAAAGATATTTACTTGAAACTTTACACATGCACTTAGGGTCATAATTGGAGGGTCATGATTGTATGTCACTGACCAAGTTCCATAACTCTATCTTGCATTAAGGCTGATTCATATCCCCTTTTCTACTTAGTCTTTTGGTTAATGTTTACATGCAAGTTTTACATATCTCAATAACTATTAAAGATATTTATTTAAAACTTCACATATGCATTTAGGGTCATAATTGTAGGTCACTGACAAAGATCCATAATTCTATCTTGCATTTAGGCTGATTTTTCTCCCCTTTTTCAACTTAGAAATTCATGGTAAAGTTTTGCTTGTAAGCTGTTATCTCAATAACTACTGAAAGGTTTGTGCCTTTTTTGGGACAATTTTATGCATTCATAATAATAAAGCAGTGATTTACTTGATAAAACATCTTAATAACAAGCCTTTGTACCTTTTCTGTCAAATTTATTTATTCATAGGTAATTAGTATTATTATACTCAATAAAACACCCTTGTGACATTACTGTATAATTAGACTCTCTCTTAGGCCTATAACATGAATTTATAAAAAAAAATTAGCCCTTTTGTGAACTTAAAAAATTTAACATTATCAAGGCTCTTTTATTATCAAGCACTTAGAATAGTCGAGCGTGCTGTCCTACCGACAGCTCTTGTTGATTTTTGTAATGAACAAAACAATGCTGTATACCTATAAAATTATATCTGTTTAAGCCTGCTGGTGTCAGTTACCTATGCGGACATACTTACAAAATGGTACTTAATATGTGACTTTTCCTTTGATCTTTTTAGCCATTTTTAGTCACACAAGGCTTAAAAAAAGACACACAAGTAAAAACGGAATGAATAGGATCAAAGAGAATTTACTGTTACCCATTGTTCTCCAAGTCACACAAATACCTCAGGGTTTGTACGACCATTGCAAACCAAGATCAGGACTGGCACATCCATGTCTTCTGCGTGATCATGGCCTTGTTCACAATTCAATCAGTATATACTGTATTGTTTCCATTTAATATCCCTGGAGTCTTGCATTTTTTTTTTCAAAAGTTGGGCGTTTATTAGAACTATAATAATGTGCTTTAAAATATTTTTTATTAGGGACAATTCAATTATAAAAAATCATTATTCATTAATATGATCGAATATATAATACAGGACTTTATGTTTTAATGATTTTACATTACTCAGTGGATTGCCATTAATTGTTATTTTTTAAGATAAAAATATTTGAATATTTTCAATTGTTCTTTCATTATGAATTATAAAGTGAGATTTTTTCTTCCATAAAATGTGGGGCAAGGGGGTGGGGGGTGGGGGGGGGTGGAGGGAACGCTAATTAAAGGAAACAATATGGTATGTTGAAATTTCACCTTAAAATGGTGAACCAGGTTTTGTCCGCATGAAGGATGGGCAAGTTAGTTTAAGATATTTTGGATAAGACTTAAGGTTCAAAGAATATTTCAGAATACATCTAGAAAGTGTATAAAGCATGGCATGTTTTTTTTATTTATAAATTAAAAATTTATCACAGTTTTAGGACTGGTTTATCACTCAATTTTTTTTTATAAACTTTGATGTTTGATAAATTAAATAAGTTAGATCAGTTTTACTTTGAGAGCTTAAAATTATTTTTGGTTAATGTCATTTTTTTTAAAAACAAAGCACTGGTACCTTTAAAGTTATGCCAATCTGCAATTTTTGCGCAAGTATTTATCATATTTTATGACTTATTTTGTAAGTGCTTTGCCTTGAGACAAGAGGCTTTTAAAAGCTTTTATATATGACTGTGCTTTACTTTATATAGAATAAGTTTTGATTTAGGATCATAATGTCCTTCACTTGCTGATTTATTAACTTTTTCTTTAGCTGATGTAATTGTCAGTATTCACTTAAAGGCCCATAATGCCTCAAAAAATAAATTATATAAATTCATTTTTCAAAAGCTTTTTTTTTTTTTAATTTTTGTAACTTATTAGTTCTCATTGACAAATTTAACTTGATCCACTTTTTTCATCTGTTGCTTTTTGGCAATAAGTACAATAATAGTACATTGGTATTTTGTATGTAAGTCAAAATACTATTTTCTTTACATTTTTTTTCTTTTATGATAAATTATTTGGCATTAATCTTTACTCTCTTCATGTTACATTAGCATCATCTAAAGCCATTATTAAAACATTATAAAATTTATGTTTGCCCTTTCTAAAGAAGTAAACATTTATTTGTTTCTGAGGCATAATGTGCCTTTAAGGTATGGTTTCACCGAATTTTTATTCAAATGGAGAAAAATACAGGGTAAAGTAATAAATATTCAGTGTTTGAAACAGATTTTCACCTCATTTGATAAAACCATGACCTGTGCATAATTAATTGAGCATCTGATATATAAAAAAAATGCCATATAATTATCCAAGTATTTTGCATTAAACATATATTAAAAAATATGATGGTCAATAAAAGCCTTATTCATTTGTTTATATAGATGAATTTTAAATTCCTTAAAAACATTTTTAAAATGGTCATGCTTAGAAAAATTCTAACTGTTGAAATAGTATGTGGCCTTATAGCTGTATAAAACGTTTAACCGTTGGTACTGATAATTTTGTTGTTGAGATTTTCAACATTAACTCTGTTTATTTATGCCAAGACATTTTCTTGTTTGTATTTTATTATACTCAAAATGATTACAATACATATCCGTTACGATATGGTCATACCATATGCGTCAAGATCAGAAAATATATCCTGTTGAGTGCAACTTAAAGTTTTCATATCTTGTTATAAAAAAGATTAACTTAAAATCAATTATCAAATACTATCATTGAATTTTTAGCTCACCTGTCACAAAGTGACAGGGTGAGCTTTTGTGATCGAATTTCGTCCGGCGTCCGTCCGTCCGTCCGTCGTCCGTCCGTAAACTTTTGCTTTAAATGACATCTCCTCATAAACCACTGAGCCAATTTCATCCAAACTTCACAGGAATGTTCCTTTGGTGGTCACCTTTAAAAATTGTTCAAAGAATTTAATTCCATGCAGAACTCTGGTTGCCATGGCAACCGAAAGAAAAATCTTTAAATATCTTCTTTTAAACAACCCTAAGAGTTAGAGCTTAGATATTTGGCATGAAACATCTTCTAGTGAGTGTCTACCAAGTTTGTTCAAATAAAAGCCCTGGGGTCAAAATTGGCCCCGCCCCAGGGGGTCATTGATTTTCCCTATATGCATATAGTAAAAACTTAAAAAATCTTCTTTTAAAGAACCCAAAGAGCTAGAGCTAAGATATTTGGCATGAAACATCTTCTAGTGAGTGTCTACCAAGTTTGTTCAAATAAAAGCCCTTGGGTCAAAATTGGCCCCGCCCCGGGGGGTCATTGATTTTCCCTATATGCATATAGTAAAAACTTAAAAAAACTTCTTTTAAAGAACCATAAGAGCTAGAGCTTAGATATTTGGCATGAAACATCTTCTAGTGAATGTCTACCAAGTTTGTTCAAATTAAAGCCATGCGGTCAAAATTGGCCCCGCCCCAGGGGGTCATAGATTTTCCCTATATGCATATAGTAAAAACTTAAAAAATCTTCTTTTAAAGAACCATAAGAGCTAGAGCTTAGATATTTGGCATGAAACATCTTCTAGTGAATGTCTACCATGTTTGTTCAAATAAAAGCCCTGGGGTCAAAATTGACCCCGCCCCAGGGGGTCATAGATTTTCCCTATATGCATATAGTAAAAACTTTAAAAAATCTTCTTTTAAAGAACCCAAAGAGCTAGAGCTAAGATATTTAGCATGAAACATCTTCTAATGAGTGTCTACCAAGTTTGTTCAAATAAAAGCCCTGGGGTCAAAATTGGCCCCGCCCCAGGGGGTCATTGATTTTCCCTATATGCATGCATATAGTAAAAACTTAAAAAATCTTCTTTTAAAGAACTCAAAGAGCTAGAGCTAAGATATTTGGCATGAAACATCTTCTAGTGAGTGTCTACCAAGTATGTTCAAATAAAAGCCATGCGGTCAAAATTGGCCCCGCATAGGGGGGTCATTGATTTTCCCTATATGCATATAGTAAAAACTTAAAAAAACTTCTTTTAAAGAACCATAAGAGCTAGAGCTTAGATATTTGGCATGAAACATCTTCTAGTGAATGTCTACCAAGTTTGTTCAAACAAAAGCCATGCGGTCAAAATTGGCCCCGCCCCAGGGGGTCATTGATTTTCCCTATATGCATATAGTAAAAACTTAAAAAATCTTCTTTAAAAGAACCATAAGAGCTAGAGCTTAGATATTTGGCATGAAACATCTTCTAGTGAATGTCTACCAAGTTTGTTCAAATAAAAGCCCTGGGGTCAAAATTGACCCCGCCCCAGGGGGTCATAGATTTTCCCTATATGCATATAGTAAAAACTTAAAAAAATCTTCTTTTAAAGAACCCAAAGAGCTAGAGCTAAGATATTTAGCATGAAACATCTTCTAATGAGTGTCTACCAAGTTTGTTCAAATAAAAGCCCTGGGGTCAAAATTGGCCCCGCCCAGGGGGTCATTGATTTTCCCTATATGCATATAGTAAAAACTTAAAAAATCTTCTTTTAAAGAACTCAAAGAGCTAGAGCTAAGAAATTTAGCATGAAACATGTTCTAATGGGTGTCTACCAAGTATGTTCAAATAAAAGCCCTGGGGTCAAAACTGGCCCCGCCCGGGGGGGGGGGGGTCATTGATTTTCCTTATAAGTGTAAAGCAAAAACTTAAAAATCTTCTTTGAAAAAACCCAAATAGCTAGAGTTTAGATATTAAGCATGAAACATCTTTAAGTAAATATCTACAAAGTTTGTTCAAATAAAAGCCCGGGGGTCAAAACTGGCCCTGCCCCAGGGGTGTCATTGTTTTTTACTATATGTGTATAGTAAAAACTTTAAAAATCTTCTTTTAAAAAACCCAATGAGCTAGAACTTAGATGTTTAGCATGAAACATCTTCTTATGGGTGTCTACCAAGTCTGTTCAAATAAACAAATATAAACCCTTTGGTAAAAATTGGCCTGGGGGGGGGGGGGGGGCTATATACAGGTGAGCGACCTCAGGGCCATCATGGCCCTCTTGTCTAACTGGTGTTTACCTAAAAACTGACCATACCGGTTTAAATGGATAATTGTGACACCATGGTAACAAAAAACACAGTGACCAATCTACATTTCTTTTCATTGGCATGTTTCCTTCCAGTAGGATATTACTTCTGTCATTTGAAAGTTCTAAACAAGAATATATCAATAATTTGTTTTGTTTTTATCATTTCTGAAAACATAGGGAAATTGTATCTTCAAATTTAGATCCATTGCAAGAGCTTACAAGTGAAATAAATGATTTATTTCATCTTTACATGTAGTAACTTATTCTAGACACTGTTTGATAATGATTATATCACGACAGGCAAGTGGTTCAAGTATGTGTTAATCTACTCTCTCTTTTTTTGCAATGTTTGATAATGTGCACTAGATATTTTGCAAGGTTGAATATTGCACATTGATTATTTTTTTCAAGGTTGAATATTGTGCATTAGTTTTTATTTCAAAGTTGAATATTGTAAGTCAGTCTTTTTTTTCAAAGTTGAATATTGTATCCAAGGTTAAGTATTGTAAGTCAAGTTTTTTTTTCAAGGTTGAATAGTATACATTAATTAGGTGGAATTTTTTTCAAGGTTGAATACTGTACATTTATTATTTGGGATTTTTTTTCAAGATTGAATATTGTACATCAATTATTTTTTTTTTCAAGGTTGAATATTGTAAATTAATTTTTTTTTTTCAAGGTTATATATCATACATTAATTAGTTTTTTTCAAGGTTGAATATTGTATATTGGTGTTTTTTTCAAGGTTGAATTATTGTACATTGGTGTTTTGATTATTGTACTGTACAGTAATTGATTATTTTTTACGGAAGAATGTTGTACAGTAAAAAGTTATTTTTCACGGTTGAATATTGAACATTAATTAGTTATTTTTCAAGGTTGAATATTGAACATTAATAAGTTATTTTTTAAGGTTGAATATTGAACATCAATTTTTTTTTTTTCAAGGTTGAATATTGTAAATTAATTAGTTTTAAGGTTATATATCATATATTAATTAGTTTTTTCAAGGTTGAATATGGTATATTAGTGTGTTTTTTTTTTATTTCAAGGTAATTAGTTATTTTTCAAGGATGAATGTTGTACAGTAATTAGTTATTTTTCAAGGTCGCTATTTTTTCAAGGATATAAAAGGTATGTCAACTTTGATTTTATTATATAAGTTGTGTTGTTGAAATATTTTAGTATGCAACATTAGAGCATGTAAGCTGTTGTCCGGATGGATACCTTCAAATGGAAGACACTGACCAAGATGAACACCTGTCCAATTTTACCACAAACAATAGATCAAATAACACTGAGTCAGGTAAGTTAAAGCTGAAAAAGTAAACTTTCCATTTGTTTAGATACTTTTAAACAATTTTAATGCTGAAGAAAATATTGACTTACTTTTCTAACTTGCCAGCAGTAACAGTGTCATGCCAGCTATATAACTATGTAGTCTGACCAGGCACTTTTTGATATTTTTGTCCTTTGGGTTCATTTACTGTTGAATTTGATTGCCCATATATTATGTTTCTTTTAGAAACTTATGTTTTGCAAATAAAACTTTAAATAACAGCAATGAAAATGTTTAACTGTTCGGTAATGTTTTTTATTTTTTTTAATTATTAATTATTTTATCTTTAAACACTGGTAGATATAAAACCATGTGGTCAAACTTAGATAATTATGTAAAATATGTGTCTTGTATTTAAGTCACTCTTTATCTGTATCAAGGTTAGATCAATGAAATCATGACAGCCTTGACTTTAAAGGAACTCAACTCAGATGTCCATAAAATTTGATTTTTTAAAACAATCAGGTGAAACAATTAAAATGGAAAAATTTGCAAATTAAGAAATTCACTCAGAATTTTATTGAAAATCATTAGTTTATGCAATTCTCAATAGCCCAATATGAGTGAAAAGCGTTGCAACGCTTTTGATTTTTGGGTCAATTTACACAATGAAAATTGGCATTCTGGAAAAAACAGGATAAAGTAATGATCTGAAAATTTGCACACAAACCTTCATCAAATGGTAGACAAATTTTGGAAAATTATTTCCAGTTCTGTTATGTAAAAAAATCAAAGCACAGAAGGCGCTGAATTTGTTTGGGTCTCAGAATGTCAGAAAGGTGAAGGTTGTGAGATTATAAACCAATTTGTTTTTGTATAGTGCCACCAATGCTTTCCAGTGTTTTAACTGTAGTTATATGGCTATAAGACTAATTGCAACACTGATAGTCAATTCAATGTTTATTTGACTTAAACAAAAATAGTTGCATTAACTGGGAATTGAACTCCAGACCTCTCGATTCATAAGCGAGCGTGCAAACCTTTCGGCCACGGTGAAGTTATATGTTAACGGCCTGAAGAAAACCATATTATTCTAAATGAGGGTTTGTAACTCTTATTATTTCGACGCTAAACCTGTTGTCTAACACAGATGTAAATAATCATGGAGCTTACTGAAAGCATGTACATCTATAAAGAATGAAACAATATTAGAAATCTTCGACCATTCGGGAACTACTTTGCTTGAAAATTAATGCGCCTGTCAAATGACAATCTTTACGCATGGATCTCCCCTGAATTTTTCGGCGTGAGGGTACATATAAAGGGAAGTGACCGCTTCAAAAAAGTGGACTACTTTAGGCATTTGCAATTAACAGCATTAGGCTCTGAAATTTCGCTACCATTATTTGTTTGGTCTGACGACCCAAACAAATAAATACTCAGTGGAGTCCCTTTAAAATCAAAGATCTGATCACAGATATTTTGTATGGCTTGTGTATTAGTTTAAGCAAGCTAGGTTTTATTGTCATCATTTTATCATGCTTCATACTAATTCACTGAGAGAGATAAAGTAATAAAGTTATATTATCATGTATATTTAAAGCTGCATGCCTCCAGATGAACCAAAATTAATATTTCAAGAAAATCAAACTTGAGAAAAATATACTAAAATCTTAAGAAATGTAAAAAGATTCAAGATTTGAGTAATAATTTACATGTTTTCTGCGATTAATGACTTATTTTGCTGTACATTTATCACCATATTTCTACTGTATGACCATTACACAGTAATCTGGTAATTTACATGGATTGTAATGTGTTCTTTGTTCAATAGACTAAGTCTGTAATCAAGAATATTTGGGTTTTGTTCCAGCTCTAAATCTGTATGTACCAACAAACTTTTACAGTTACAGCTTTGAAAATAAATGAAACAGGTTGAATAATCTATTGTGACGATAGTAAAATTTGTTTGTACTAGGGATGGCAACGAGTAACCGGTTAACCGAGTACTCGATTGATATTCGATTACTCGGAAAAAATATATAATTCATATTTTTACCATTAAGAAGAATTGGTGTGTCCAATTAGTTCAGAAATTCGGAGATATGCATGTATCTTCATTAAATACCTGTTAAATGTAATCAAAACATCCTTGCAGAGGTGCGAAAATGATAGGCGATCAACAGTTGACACCCGCACCTGTGTCGCTTATGTCATCCAGCTCTTATGATATTCAGTAACAGTTTGTAGCGGAAGTAACTATTTTGAAAATAAAAAAAGGCCGATAAGGATAACTAGTATTTAGACACCTTTTTAAACTTTGTTGCCGCCGATCAGTCTATATTATTTCAAGATGCAATTGGATTCATTAAAACGTTGTAAAATATGATGTTGTTTAATTTGTCTCCCGTGCAGTCCTATTTATAGTTACGAATTCTATTAATTTAAATAGAAAACGAAAGTAGCATGCGGACGGTGTTGATATTATGAGATCATTGGAAATCATCCGAGTAACCGAGTACTCGATCGGAAAAATGACCGAGTACTCGAGTATTGATTTTTGTATTCGTTGCCATCCCTAGTTTGTACCTATGGATTTGCTGGGAAAAACTCATATTTGCTGAGTTTTTGGGATAATGTCTATTCACAATGATTTACTTCAAAATATGTACTAAAAACTTTCATGAAAATTAGCATGAATCTGGAGGCATAATTGCACACATACCTCTTTTGTTTTTCTTTAGAAAGGTTGAAGATATTTAGTAATTAGATTAAAGCATATAAAATGCATATCACTGTAAGGAAGTAGTGCTGAAAGAGAACTTGTTTGACATTCAGGTAGCTCAACATAAATAAACTCAGAGTTTTGACTTCCATGTGAAATAATAAATCAATACAGCAGTACTAATTGCCAAAGACATTTAATGAGAAATTGCAACAGAACACCATGAATAAATGTTTTAGAGAAATAGAAATAATGGTACTTTAAGGCTTAATGGGCCTTTAAACATCCATGACTGTATTGTTAAATCTATATTTTGTGTTGTCTTTAAATTACATTGTACCATTATGTTTTTTATATACAAGTTACAGAAATACAACAGTTACCCTCCTTTATGTTTCTCTCTCCTTACTAATGAGATTATTTAATTTCCAGATCAAACTTTTCAGTTATGAGTTATCACAAGAGTAATCTCCCTTTTTTGATGAAGCAATGCCACTACAATTATTTCCCTGTAACTGATATTTATATCATACTGCATGACATCAGTTGTCCCCCTTTTCTTGATATTCAGATTTATGCAGTATGTACTACAACAGTTACTTCCCCTTAATTTATGAGCATATTTGCACAAAAGTTGTACAAGAGTTATCTTACATTTAAATTTTTAAATATTTTAGCTCTTTAGAATTACTCCCCACTATTATTATGATTTCAATATTGTAACAATCAAGATTTTACCTCTCTGAATGTTTTCTATATCAATGTTTCGTTGCTTGGCTTAGAATTGAAATGTTGCGATACCACTTTTTAAAAATTGCTTTCTCGAATCTATAGATGACACAAAGATAAGATACTGATAAAAAAATTTAATAACTATTTCCCATTATTTTGAAAAAAATGTACCATTAAGTTAATGATAAAATTCAGAGACACAACAAACATTTCTTAAAAAAAACAACAACAAAAAACCAAAAAAAAACCAACTGATTTATTAGATATGACAGAACTATAAATAGAACTTCTTTACAAACTTTGTTTTATATAATAATTATTTTAATCTGATATTTTAGTTGTAACTGCAAGAATTACCACTTGGGATCTTGCAGAACTGTCAGGATTTACCTCCCTTTATTTTATTCTATATTTAGATGTTGCAGTGCTGCAGGATGACAAAGTTGCTACAGACAGAACAAAGGTGATGATCATAGTTGGCGTAAATGTTGGCATTATTTTTGTTGCTGGATTCATCGGGTTTATGTGTTACAACAAGAGATCCCATATTGACTTTTATAGCAAACTTCCAGGTGAGTGAATCTTTTTTGTCTTTTTGATTGGGTTTCACATCAAGCCAAGACAGTATAGGTCATATGATGACTTTTCAGCTTAACTGGTGGAGGAAGACCCCAGGTGCACCTCTGTACATTATCTCAGGCACAATTGCAAACAGGCACCTGAGTAACTTTTTCACATGAAAGGATGAAAAGACGCTTTTGTGGCTCACTGCGGTGAGAGGCATGTGGTTTAAAGTCAACATTTCATTAATACTTAACACTTGGCCGTGGAATTAGGGTTATATGTACATTTAACCTGCTGAACTTGCAGCAAGCTTGCTGAGTGTTGATGGTTCTTAACTTAGGTGCCTGTAAAATGCGCTTGAAATAATGCCAGTAGGGCACAGTGAGGTCTTACTCCACCAGAAAAGCTAGAAAAATGCCATGTGACCTTGACAGTGTTTGAAATGTTTGCAACAGCAATACCAAGTAGCTGTGTATAATTATGATTATACGAAGTACCAAGCATGTACAATGCCTTTTATGAATGGTGTGCATGTTTAATGTAAAGTGGATTAAGTGCTGAACCAAAAAAGAGTTGAAAATTTAATACAGGCAAGAACTATTGGAAAGCCTGTGAGTAACAGGTAGGAATGTGACACTAATGGCTGAAAAAAAATAGTAGGTATAATTATATGACAAGTGGTATACAATAAGTTTAAGAGCAATGCCAAGCCTGTCACACATACTGGTGCTAGGCAGTTTGGTTGGCTTGTACATGACACTGTTGTAGACATTTTCAGAATATTTTAGCGTGTAAATAAAAAAAATGGTCTGAAATTATATATAGTTGACAGATCAAAAATTCAAAGACTGGAAATGAAAATCAATACATAAATTCAGAGGAGGAAAGATTTAAACAGTTATGATATTGCTAGCTGGCATGGTTCTATAGTGTGTGGATCATTGAAATTCTTGATTTTCAAGTATGACACACTGATATTGTGATGACGTGCATTTACACATGCAATGATTGTGAACAGATAACCGTTTCATCTCAACATAGAAAAAAAAAGATCTGTGGATATCTAATTAAGGCAAATGTTCATTCATAAGTATCTCAGGGTTTTTATGATGTTAAATTATTAAAGATTATTATTTAAAGGTCAATGATCTACTGTAATAATTCCTGATCACTCCCCTTCTCTTACTGTTGCAGGGATTTGGTGAAAATCCTGCAATAACTTGTGAAAATCCTGCCACAACCTGTCTAGAAATCCAGTAAAATCGCTACCCCACTCTGGAATAGGCAATACCCCTTGTCAACATTTTGCAATCGCCCCTCTACATTAAAATAGTAAGTTAAAATATCTAGATCCGGGTTCACTGGTGTCCATAAATATAAGATTTCAGCTGGCAGTGATATTTCAAATAACTTGCTAAACATGTCACGTTAATTGTCATCGGACAAAAGCTGCTCAATAATCTCTGTCTGCAGAGATGATTTCCTTTTTTATCAAAGTATCAGAAGTGTTTGATATATTAGAAAAAAAGTCAAAAGATGTTAAGAGTAATATTTATGATCCTTTCAGATTTTCATGCTAAATGTGGCAAAATGTTTATCAAGTGTGCATGTCGGTTAGATAATAAAACATATCTGAACCAGTTTGAACTGTATTTTCAGTTCAAAAAGGGGAAAACATAGATTGATAATCCCCTGCAGTTTGTTTGAAGGTCAAAATTAAAGTGGTGCAAAAAAGTAATATTGTATAACTTGAAAGTGTTTTCCCAGAACATACAAAAAAGGAATGAAGTGTTAAAATAAATTATGATCTTCTTTTAGGAAGTTACTTTACTTTAAATCAGACTTGTCATTGATTCGGTGCGATGCATATCAAGAATATACATTGTATTGACAAATTTCGACAAAACACCAATATATCAATAATTGCTTATAATTACTTTTCTATAATTCACTTTCATATCAGCTAAAGTGATTTCAGTAAAATACATGTTCTGTTCATAGAATTATGATGTCTCTTGTTTATAAATGCCTATTGCACGAATTTGTCCTTACATCACTGCTATGACATATTTCCATTTCATACTGAACAACAGCATTATATATATAAGTGTAAGACATGGATACCTAGTTCTGTAAATGTTTTAGGTGAAATTTCATAAATTTTTGACATTTAATTAGTTTCTGAAGTCAAAATTAGCAATTTTTTTCAAACGCATAATGGTTACTTTTTGAAAAAAATATCAACGATACATCAAAATTGTTTTTAACGATGAAAGCTCTATTTATTAAACCATACAAATTTCACTGTGTCTTAGACTTTAATTAAATTATTGTCAATGACTGTGATTACTGCCAGCATTTAAAGCACATAATTATATCACACATACTACAATAGATTTTTTAGATTGTTCATTTTCATATTTGGTATTTCAAGGAGTTCGTACTGTACCAGATCCAACACTGTGGCATCTAGATGATGATGAACAAGTCGGTTCAGGCCGGATCAGTTCCGCTGCCCACCCAGGTCGTATGTTGTCATCTTCAGTTAAATCTGATTTCAGAGATGGGGCTCCAAGTACTAAAAGGAAGTCAGTGTGTTTTCCTGTCCTGGAGCATTGTGGGATACCAGAAGATTGTTTGTCTTTAGGTCAAAGGTCAGTGCTGGTGATTTTTTGAAAAACAACATATCTGTAAAATCTTGAATGCATGCTTATAACCATTCTGATTCCTGCTACTGATAAAGGGAAGCAAATGCAAATTCTTTTTAGATCACTTCAACATAATAGTAGATGATGGCCCTTTGTTTTTTGAGACAGAGAAATACACTTATGCGCTCAATTCCTATACTACATTTCTTAATTGCCTTTCACTTGGCTTTAACAGAAGCAGCATTAGCAAGAGCTCTGGCTTTTATTGTTCACTCGGATGTCTTGCAAACATTTTTTGCAGAATTACGAACCTTTGTGTCTTTTTTACATACTAAACTAAAATGAAAGTGTCTAGGGTAATTATTTTACAGACTTGGTGGGAGTATATTTGGCGACACTTATATAGCTAAATGGACGGGTATCACTGTATCTGTAAAACGTATCACACTGAGTGTTCATAAATACCAGATTGATAAGGAAAACATAGGGCAGCTAAAAGCTCAAGTTTCCTTCCTCAGGTAAGATTTCTACTGTTTGTCTGTATGGTATTTATATTAACACACATAACATACCAAAGGGACTATATAGAAATGCCTCTATTCTAACTCTTTTGCTATTGTTCTTATTTCTAGTAAATGGGCAAATGTATAAAAGTTTACTACTATTTGTTTAAAACCTTATTGCAAGAATGAAAATCTTTTGTGTATGGTAATAATATACCCACGAAACATACGGATAGGCTATATTAAGAATGCCACTAGCTATTTAAAACTCTTTTTTGTTTCTTAACAGTACTGTAACGATGGACACAACTGAATGTTTAATTGCTATTTGTTCAAAATATAATTGGAAGAATTAAAATCTTTCAATATTATTAACTTTATAATGTTATTGTTGGCTAGAAACAATTTCTTTTTCTTTAACATTTTTGCCACTTATTAAATAATTCCATTTTATTATCCAAACCAACTTCAGTCAAAGATGTTGGTTGGATATGAATCAAATTCAGCAATACATGTAGTTCTAGTTATCAATGTTCAAGGGAGGAATATGATTGAATAAAGGGGGATAATTTATAGGGAGAGAATTTAAAGGGAGGTAATTGAGATGAAGTTATATATAAAGGGAGATAATTTATTGTTTTTTTTTCAGTCAGCAGAGACATAGAAATATAGTTGCTCTACTAGGATACTGTGCCGAGTCCACGCACCCATATATTATATCTGAATATATAACTGGACAAATTCTGAAAGATTTCATCAAAACAGCTGGAGAACAATTAACATGGCCTCATAGAGTTAAAATTGTAAGTTTATCAAATCAATTAGCCTTACAGCATTCTCTATTGAACTTGAATTAGTGTTACAATTCTCAAATGGTAGTTTAGCCTAAAAAGTTTCTAAGAAAGTTCACTTAGCATTTAAATTTGCTAATGAACTTGAATTTTCCTTTAGATTTTTTTATCAACTTGGATTAGCCTTTAATACCTTAATAAGCTACTATTGCCATTTAAATTTGCTAATGAATTCTTACAATATTCAGTGATGAGCTCTGACTTAATGCAAACAGGTCTTACATTATGTCCCTAACTTTTTCCAGTTATCACAAGTGGCTGACGGTATGGCCTTCCTACATTCAACCCAACCTCCTATACTCCATAGAGATCTTCGTTGTGGAAATTTGTTTATCACAAACAATGACGTTGTCAAGGTATGTAGGTTCAAATTTGTTATTCGATTCCATCTGTAAGTAGTCATTACTTGAACATATCACATGGGCAACTCTATATAGATGTGTGAAGGCATCAACCTTCAAGCTAAAATTGGAAACATTGCAGTCTCTGTTCTCCCTAAGCTTCGTCACTCTCAATATGTTTGTATGGCATTGAAATGTGATCTTATATGTGATTTATTTATTTATATGATACTGAGACTTTACTTCAGATACATGTACATGATTTTGGTAGATACATGTATGTGACTTTGGCATTGTTGACTATGCTACTGACTTTATTTTAGATATGTTACTGTGATATTGTGTTCATTAATTTTAGATATGTGATAGCTGTAAAAAGATGCCCCGTACTTCACTTCAGTGTTGTTATATTTTTCTGGTCCTTCGGGATCATTGATGCCAGCATTATTAAGTGTTGAGAATAGAGTACCACTCAAACCGGTGCTAGGGGGCATGAGGGATGTTAATCATTATCCCTTGTGTACAGACTCAATCAAACCGAGTCTGCTATTTTCATGTAATTCTGTTGTGATTAATGCTTCTGAGGGATCACTTTGTTTCCAGATTTTGGTATTGGGTTTACTTTAAGACTGATTTTATTTTAGATATGTGACTTTGGCATTGTTGACTACCGGCATGTTACTGACTTTATTTCAGATCTGTGTTTCAACAATAAGACTGACTTTATTTCAGATATGTGACTTTGGCATTGTGAATATAACACAACCTTTGAGGACAGGCTGTCAACTAGAGGACTGCTGTTGTAAGTTAAAAAAAAAGTATTTACGTTGGAAGTTATCTTTGAATTTGAGACAGTCCAGATTTCAATATCAAAATACAAAAATTGAGCTACCAATTCCAGTATAGAGCCAGGTCAGGCTGCATCAATGTGCAGATTGGCCTGGCTCTATACTGGTGGCAAATACTGAACACTTCTAGTTCCAGAAGGTTGAGGGTTAATTAATTAATAGGATGGAGACATCATAGTGGACAATGTTTAAGTTGTATGAAAATACAGATAGAAAAAAATACAATATTTCAGGATTTTACACCAGACAGAGTCTGAAACTTTCGACAAGGGGTTATGTGTAATCCAGAGGAGGTTTGGAATTTTACTTGTTTTCCAGATGAGGTCTTGTGAAAAATTGAAAAAAGGGAACGAAAAATGTTCCGTCATAAGTTTATGATGCACATACCTATTTGCTCCTCTTTACTTATTTATATCTGTATGCATACTACAGTCATGTATATAACATGAATTCACATTCTTTCCTGAACCTTTTTTTTTTCTTAAATTTTTCCAGGTCAAGGTCTGTATAGTGCCTGTCCACCATGGATAGGTTGGACTGCACCAGAAGTGTTGGAACATCCCAACTCTCAGGAGAACGAGGGGTATATTACCACAGCAGCAGACGTGTATTCCTACGCTGTGGTCATGTGGGAACTTGTTTTATGTGATGATCCATATGAGGAGATGAATACTGCTCAAGAGGTCTGATACCATTATGTAAAGTGATCATACCTGATCATTAATCTGCTAAATTTATTACATAGAATTTTCCAGCGTCCATTTTTATTCCCCATCAGATAATTGTAGAGGGGCCTATATTGGAATCATTATGTACACTTGCTCCATCAGTCTGTTTGTAAGTCTGTCCTTCTACACGGTGTGATCTCTATAAATCCTTTACCTCTTAAACCTTTTTTCTTTGAAATTGGCTAAAATAACTGTATACCCAACAAGGCAATATGCAGAACTTATGCTCCAGCTGTGCCTTCTTCAGGTCCAGGTCACTCGTGAAGGTAAAAGGTCAAATAAATTTGTGTCAGTCCTACACCCCTTGAAGAATTCTCTAGTGTCCACCCTAACAAGGTGATGTGCAGAACTCCTGCTGCCACATGTCAACTTGAAGGTCAAAGGTCAAGACAAATCAGATGGTGCAAAGTTAAGGGTTAACATCAGTTGTTTTTGTTTTTAGTTAAAACATCTTTGTTTGAGCTCAGTTGTAATGGAAACTTTAAATTAGCCGCGCCATGACAAAACCAACATAGTACGCATACGCGCAATCTGATCAGGATCCATGCTGTTCGCTATCAGTTTCTCTACTTGCTATAGGGTTTGTAAGCAAACAACATGGATCCTGATCAGACTGTGCCAATGCGCAGGCTGGTCTGGATCCATGCTTGTCGCAAACCCATTATGTTGGTTTTGTCATGACGCGGCTCAAATCTTATTTGATTCAGTCCCTGGTCAGTATCTTGGAAATTACACCAGTGCTGGTGTGTTATCAGACATGATCGTCACCCCAGTACGGCTCAAGTCCATGATCCTGGGGTTGAGAGGTAGACACCTGAACCACTTAGCCACAGCACTGACACATATTACATGTGATTGACTTCACTGACCTAGCTGTATTCAGTCCTTTAGCATTGAAAGATTTGAAATAAAATGCTTCTTTCCTTTAAAGGTGATTGATTATGTAACATCAGGTGGTAGACCAGAAGTGCCACAAGGTACCAAAATACTGAGGCCATACAACTTGCTAATGACAAAATGTTGGGACAGTACTGTCGCTGAAAGACCAAGCTTTAAACAGGTAAGATTTTTACTTTTTTTTAATGAAATATTCCCTTTCCGTCTCCTGTTGTTTAGTTTAAAATAAATTAAGTAACCAACAGTACATAGCGTGTTCAGACTACACGAATGTGCAGGCTGACCTGACCTGTCCCTATACTGGTGGCAAAGGCTAATCATGTTTTGGTACCAGCATTATTATACTAACGTATCATTGCTATCTGTTAGAAAAAGCTTTTAGAAAGAGTTAATAAAATGATATCGAACTGTCATTGCGCGGAAAAGTAATTTTCATGACATCATTAATTTTGGTTTATTTTGAGATCATTTCTGTGACATCATATGGCGATAAAAATTTATTTCCCAATTTTGTGCTCAGGCTCTCAACCAGCGCAGGCTCTCAACCAGCGCAAACAGGATGTTTCGGCCCCTAACCAAATCATCCCCATTGCAAAAATGTGCCCCTAAGACATATCGGCCATTTTTCGGTCTTTTCATTATGTTAGTTCTTGGGACCAAAGTGACCCAAAGTCTCAAAAATCTCAACCACTTGGAAGCTTCTGTTCATATTGACTTGCATAATTATTGTCCTAATATATTGTTATTGTTTGGTAGGCAAATGACAGAAAGCAGAATATGTTCTGGTGTATTTTTTTTCACCTGTCAAATGAATTACCTTAGACAATGATTTACAATTTTGAAACCAGATGTTTTGCCCACACATATTTAGTTTTAATGCAACTCAAAATCTTACTTGCCTTTCCTGTTTCTGGAAATTTTTAAACAGTTGTAAAGTATGACACCTGCATTATTTTTACACAAATATTTAAAGGAACATGCCCATATATATTTAAGTTGTTTTTTAAAGGTTGTGTTTCACAGTTTGTCTCATTGAAACATTTTTTGTTACTTGTTTAATCATATTGATAACTCTATGAATTAGGCATTTACCCACAAACAGAGAAGAAATAATCATAGGTTATACCTTTATTTTATTTTAGATAACTGTTCAACTAAAGGAAATTCTACATCAAGCCAAAATGTTTCAGAAAGATTTAAGTCAGCGTAGCAATAGAAGACGAACAAGCTCCAAATCAATGCGTGTAAGTTTTACGGAAAATAATGAAAATGCCTAGTTGCATGAAATACTTTAGATCTGTGTATGGGATGTGACAAGGCAATCAAACTGATGTGTGAGATATAGGATTAAGAATAAATGCCAGAAAAAAAAAAACAACAGAAGAGTATAATAGACAATATGCATGGACTTTAAAAATGTCCTTGGTGCAACGAGAACAGCTAGCATTCGTGCAGTCAGCAAAAGGGGAGTGACTTCTGTCGTGTTCATTAATTTGTCTGTAATTATGATTATATTCGTACATAACATTTAAATAAAAAGTGACTGAACAAAAAAAAAAAATGACTGCATATCCTGCAAGGTTTTTACAGTGCATGGAAAATTGCTAAAGAATTATGATAACAGTTAGAAGGTACTAGTAGTCTATTAATATTTTCATCTTCCATGATTATTGAACTATTGAAACAAATGGAGGAAAAATGCAAAGGGGAAGTAACTTGTGATAAACCAGCAGTTACAATTTTCCATTCCATTGATAAAGTAACAAATGGAGGAATAATGTAAAGGGGAAGAAACTTTTGATTAAAACAGGAGTTGTTTCCCTCTTCATTTGAGAATATTGACACAAATGGAGAAATCATGTAAAGGGAAATAAACTTTTGATTAAAATAGGAGTTGTTTCCCTCTTTATTTGATAATATTGATGCAAATGGAGGAATTATATAAAGGGGAAGTAACTTTTGTTAAAATAGCAGTAGTTTTCCTCTTTTTGATGTGGAATCAGATACCATATATATCAAGGGCAAGTAACTTATGATATCAGAGCACTAGTGAATTCTTTGACAGCAAATGCTGCAAAGTTTTGAAGAATTCAAATTAGTCCCTTCTTGACATTTAGCCAGTCATGTGTATAAAATTACCACAGGAATTTGAAATCCTATCAATATTAAAGATAATATGCAAAATATACCCCCATATTATATAAAAAAAACACATTATTTATAGTATATAGGGGGTATATTTGGATATTATCATTAATATTGGTTATTTGATATAATTTCAAGTTCCTGTGAAAATTACTTTACATTTTTAGTATAGCTTATTTGATTATGAAAATTGTGATTTAAAAAAAAAAATCTATAAGGAAATTTTGCATTTATACTGCTTCTTTATTACTGTCAACACTTGGCATAATGTATTCCTTGCATTTCATTAGATGGCATTAACAGAATCAGCTGCTGATATAGGGTAGCCATGAGTCTGAGTAAGTGTAAAAAAAAATGAATTATTTACATTATGTTTTGATTTGAACTGACAAAGTTGTATATATTTTTTTCGCTTTGGTTTATACAGAATTTATTTTAGCTTGATTATGGAAGAAGCTATAAACTTATAGATAGACTTTAGAATCTGTTCCTGGAACCAACCAGTACTGAGCAATGAATGTAAAGTTTCTTGCTCAAGAAAAAACAACAACCTGACTTGCCCCTGACCAGGGTCTGAACCAATATGGCTAGCGATCATTAGATTACTAGTTTGATGCATTTACCACTCGGCAATGCCGCCAATCACTTTTTTGCTTTGTGTTATAAGATAGTGTGTATTAGCATTTAATAATCAGTTTAATATGTATTTAATACAAAGATGCAATATTATATATATTTCATATCATACAAAGATGCAATATTATGTATATTTCATATCAAAATTATTCTATATTTCGTGTATTGTGTATGAAATACAAAGCTATTATAAGTTTTAAATAATAATGTGTTTCTGATCAATAGTGCCCCATTCTCCACAGTTATGTTGTTTTTCCATGATTAGTCATCAAAATCTTTAATCGGATCATTTTATTTAAGGTATACAAATTACCGATTTGCTCTCTCTTGCAAAAAGGAAACCACAATGGATCACTTCCTCTGCCAGTAAAACTGGGAATGTTGCATTAAATAGTGCAATAGTACACCAACAGTTTTTTTTAACATAGCAAATATTTTTAACTAGTTCATTAGCTATTTCGTTTAAGGGTAGTCGCAGAGGCCCAAAGGCCTAAAAACAGATAATTTGAAATTCATATGTAGATAGGTTGGACAAATTAAAATGGAAATAAAAAACAAACAAGTTTACAAAGAAAACTGAGAATAAATTGAGCAGCGATCTTTTGTGCGATTCTTATCCCATATATACATGTTGAATTTTAAGTGTTGAAATTATTTTTTTTTGGGTTGTTTTGCACAAGTAAAATAATTTTTCTTGAAATACTAAATGAGTGATTGACGTGAAATTTCACAAACAGGTTATAGAGCCATACTCGCCTTGATGGTGGGCTCAGTGAAGTGCCTGCAGACTGTTACAGTAAAAAATGACCTTTTAAAGAAATACTATCAATATATAAATTATCTCTATGTATTGTTGTGTTCAGGACAGGTGTCATAATGGCAAAAAAAGGCAATATTTTTTTAATTATTTTCTTATAAATGAAATATTGATGAAATAAAATTTTCACTGTAAAAAAATATTTTTCACTGCAGTGAAACATGTTTTCCGTATTTTCACTGCTGGTTTCTTGCCAGTCTACTTTCTTCTTAATCCAGCCAATACCAAAATTAAAGAAGTCTTAAGAATTGTTAGTTCAAAAAAGAGAGAAAGTATTTAATAAACAGAAAATTCAAGTTTTAACTACAGTACAGGATTTATTTTCATCTTGTGATATGAAAATTATAATATTTCACTTTTACTACTGTCATTTGTGAAATATTTATTTTCATACCATCCAATGAAAAAAAATCCAGTATTTATAGGAAAAACTTGAGTATCCTCTATATATTTATGTATATTTAGTTGTTAATGATTTTCAAACTAATTTTCTAACAATAAAATCTTATATATACAACAATTACAATGTAAAAAATACTATCACTGGTTATTTTTGTTTAGATTTTATCATTATCACAAGATGTCATGTCATGATTTATAAAGTTTTGGTAATATTTTCCATTCAGTAAATTCTCATTATAAAAAAATTACATACAAAATTCTTAACATAATAATATGTGACATGGTGCAATTTAATTTTAAAATAAACATACATATCCGACTCTTGTTGTGGTTATTTTCTCTCATGCAGTTAAAGGTGACCTTCTAAGTGCAAAACAATATTTGTTTTACCAAAATGTGAAGGAAAAAAATCTGTTATTGTGCTCATATTTTGTTTGTTTGGTTTTATGGCTCACCATCACAATTTAGGTCATTTTGGCTAGCCTTGCATGTTACTAACTTAAAGCAACACCTGGGTTCAAAACCACTTTGCCTGCTGGAGCTAAGAGATGTATAGACTTCAGTAGTTCGAGACCATTTAGTCGCCTCTTACTATCCAGCAGGGTTAATGGTGGCTGCAATTCTGATGCCTTGATCCTTAAAGGCAATCCCTTGAAGCCACAAAGGGGAACTCATATTTTGAAAATATAAGAACTTGGGTTTTGTAACATTTGAGCCGTGTCACGACAAAACCAACATAATAGGTTTGCGACCAGCATGGATCCAGACCAGCCTGCGCATCCGCACAGTCTGATCAGGATCCATGCTGTTCGCTATCAGTTTCTTTACTTGTTATAGGGTCTGTAAGCGAACAGCATGAATCCTGATCAGACTGCGTGGATGCGCAGGCTGGTCTGGATCCATGCTGGTTGCAAACGCACTATGTTGGTTTTGTCGTGACATGGCTCATTTATATAACTCCATTAATCATGCAGTCTTCATGTGAGTTTTTTAAGGAACACTGCCTGTGACCAGTCATCCACAATATGTTTGTATGTATAACAACATTATTATATTAGTTTGATTTGAATTTAACTTGCTAATTAAGAGACCTTGCATTGCTATCAAAGCTTAAAATCAGAGTTATGGCCCCTGAATAGACCAAAATTTTCATTTTAAATTTGAAAAAATATTATGGTCATGTTAGGAACTATGCATTCTTTAAAGTCAGGGGCCTTGATAGCTGAGGGGTGCAAGTTCCTAAGAATCATTTGCCATTCACGGCTGTTGTTTGAAGTTTTTTCCATGGACAATTCCTATTCTTTTACTGGAGTACGCTATCCTGCTAGCTTACAGATAGTCAGTGGTTTTAATCACACTCACATAATACTGAAATATTGCATGGAGGAGCACTTGTGGTTTGCCACCAGTAAAGTTGAAAAGTCATCATGACTTTTACAGTGACCGTCTAAAGTGTGTAACTAATGACTCTATAGCTACTTAGGCAAGTCATTATATCTATTTAAGCACTGCTAGCATTCAAAGAGTTAAAGGTTTATCCCGAAATTATAAAAAAATAAATAATTGAGTAAAAAATAAAATACACATATATATACATTCCATTTATTAATGTACATTGATATTTGAATACATTTTCTTTTCTGTATACACTTCTCTTTTATACACTTCTCTTTTCTTTCTTCAAACTTAACATTCTTAGCAAAATTCTTAATATATCAAAATTAAAATACATCTTACTTCAAGACTGCATCTTTTGCAAACATTTTAAAATTTTTCAATAATCTTCTTTTTTGTAATATTCAAGTTTGTAAAGAATCCCTCTTGTACAATTAAAAATTGTACAAAACCATTTTTCAGAGAAATCAATGAAAATTTCAGCATCTCTGTTTTCAAAATACTTGAAGGGCATATTCTTGTTTAACACAGGCTATTTTGACTATGAACAAAATCTTACTTATAAGCCTTATCCAAATTTTTAACTTCTGATTTGTCTCAAATTCACATTCAAATTTGTTTTTTTCTTCGCATGTTACAATAAAGTTTTTCATTTAAAGTCCAGTTTTCATATTAAAAGTTACATTGTATTTCATGTCTAGTTTTTAAGTCACTTCATTTCAGGCTGCCACAATTGCATCATCACGTCAGAACTACTTTCATTTCAGACTGTCATATTAAGTCAATGTTACACTTAAATAGGCTGTCATATTAAGTCAATGTTACACTTCATCAGGCTGTCATATTAAGTCAATGTTACACTTAAATAGGCTGTCATATTAAGTCAATGTTACACTTCATCAGGCTGTCATATGAAGTCAATGTTACACTTCAATTCATAATCAGTTATCAAGTCAATATTTCACCTAACCTTTAACACTGTGCCGATATTACGCTCCAATTCTACAAATCCCTTTTATTTCCTGCTGAGTTTTTATTATGTTTACAGCCTGAATTTCACTCAAATTCAGACACTACAGTATCTTGTGAAATTATTCATCTCAAAATAATTACAGGCTAAGTTTTTTTATTTAAGTCACTATCTCAGGTGTCATAATTTCTGTGGCAGGCGTTTCAAGCTTGGATATTTCGTCTTTTAATTTTTGTATAGTCTGTTTCTTTTGTTTAAGTCTCTCATTAAGTTCTGTAATTTCGTAGCGGATTTTCTTCTTCGCGTTCTCGATTTTGATTACGGTCTTCTCTTTCTTCTCTTCAACTGTAACAGAAATATAATGAAAGTATTTTCTTTAAGTAATAAGTAAATATTCATCCAATTAGTATCAATTATTAAATTTATTAAATTGAACTTTTGATTAGAATTTCTTCTTATAGGGAAATTTTTTTTTTTAATGATGAGAATCTTTTCAAAATAACAACTAAGCCCAAGTTAAAATATGGAAAAAGAACATTACATCACCATCAATTATTATCAGTACAAACTTAGCAACCAAATCATTCCTTATATATGATATGAATGGAACTAATTTGATCTATTACTAACAGTTACTTCATTTATCAATTTGCAGTATCCTTGAAAAAATTCTTGTGCCTTGCCAATAGTAAACGCTGTGACTTTCAGGTGATTTTTCATAATGGTTTGTTCAAATACATGACTACCTAACAATTCTGAATCATTTAAAAGCTTTCAAAATAATGATTTTTTAATCATAGTCAGTAAATGCTTACAGTCAGTATCATGTTTATAAGCTCCTATTGACAGAGATCTGGTTCCATTTAAAAGATGCTGCATCATTATTGTTGGGTCATTGAACACCTGAGGAAAAAAAAGACAAAAAATTTATATCTACTCACAAAAATAAAATAAGTTATTTCACATCTTATAAATTATAACCAATGAATTTTCAGTGATTGCACAATGTGATGTTGCAAGAGAAATAATTATTGGAACCAATCTTATCAATTAAGTCTTGTTTAATTTCCAATGTCCCAAATAATGTTGAGAACAATACTGATTTTGTTTTTGACTCGTACACAGCTGCAGAACCTATATTAGTCTCGGTTATTGCCTTGACCAATATAAGGTTGAGATATATAGATTTGTTTGGTTTTATGGCAGACGAACAGTTTAGGTCATATGGTGCTGGAACAGGAAAGATGATTTTGGCCAACCTCTGTTGTTACAAGCTTCAAAATAACACCAGGTGTCAAAACCACCTCACCTGCTGGAGCTAAAAATTGCATAGACTCCAGTTATTCAAACCCATTTAGTCGCCTCTTACGATCACCCAGGGATAAACAGTTACTGCAATTCTGATGCCTCAACCGTTAAAATGGCATTCCAGCAACAAGAAGCTCACCTAATAGAATCCAGTATCGTACTCAGCAATGTGTAGTAAGTTGGAGTATGATATGCATTTTTTTTTATATACATGTTATGGACGCAATACAGGATATAATATGCATTTTATATTGACTTTTTGGACTATGAAAATAGGATAAGATTGGATTCGATAATAATAATTTCTACTGGATCATTATGTGGTGCAGCAGCAAGGGCTGGAAGTTCATAGGTTATATTTCATAAGGTATGAAATAATAAATACCTACAATAAAATTATTTTTAGTTATTACAGACCTTCCAATTTGGAAGACCAATTCACTATTAAGCTATTAATTAAAATAAAAAAATAATCCGACAGAGATCAGTTGATCAACATTTAAAGTCATAAAGAAAACATTATTACCAGTTCATCGTAGAACTCCGAGACCAATGATTTCTTTCCCAGCATAATATCTGTCTCACTCTGGAACAGTTTTAACAAATGGTACACTGTCACCTGCAAAATATAAAATAATACATAATTATGATATACAGTCAAACATGTAATGGTAGTCTTATCATCAATAAACCATTTCTGGTATTATAGATGAGTGGGATATGATGAAGATATAGAGGTGCAACATTGATATCATTATGATGAAAAAATATAGACTACATTTGTTTGTTTTCATTGAATATGCTATATATTATACTGAGAAGTGAGAAAACTTTCCATATTGCCCTTAGTGCAAGTAAAAATATGGATACTTTCATTACTTTACAAACACATATAAATAAGATTACATCAGACCACTTAACAGAAACCCTGCATCAGACATTCAAATGCTACATGAACAAACAAACAAAAGTAGTTCAAATTTGTAGACAATACCACTACATTGTATTATAAAGGGGGGTAATCACTACCACTCTATAGCCACTTACTGGTCTCTCATGGGGATCATTAAAGTATATTTTGATGATGACTTCAAATTCTCCCCAACCTGTCTCTGTAACTTCATATGGTGGCTTCAAAACAACTGAAAAATGAAATTAAGATACATTATTGAAATAATTATAAAAGATATACAGATATGTTTCATTTATCTATTTTATTGGGTTATAAAGTGCTCTTTTGTGCTTTATGCTAGACAAAGATGGGTATCAGAATAAAACCAGCAATCTTCTGTGGACAAGCATCACCTCATAAAAGTCCCCGATATCTACAGAAGTAAGGGACAAGTGATTTGACCTTAATGACCTTAACTACTCGACCAAGAAGTTCGCATCATTGATACCTTTACAAAGTTTTAGAAGAATACTGTCAGTATTTGCTAACTTTATCAAGTTTTGAATAAAAATGTAAACAATTGTGTCTCTTAACACAAGCCATACTTAAAGCTACCAGTATAGGGTCAGGCTAACCAATAAATCTGGTTAGTCTCATACAGTTCAGTTTGTTGCTAAATTCTCTGATCCAGAAAACAGATTAAATAACAAAACTGTATAGTCAAAAGAACATCAAGTCTTTAGCATACATGTATAAATTACACATGGTTTAGAAATTTAGGTTTGACTTAAATTATTTTTAAAAATCATTTAAAAAAACATAATAATCATCAAACAATAATCTATTACATGTAAGTAATTCAAACAAGTATTGCTAACAAAGCATTGGAAGCATTATTGATATTACACCATATGCACTTTGTTGTGAAGACAAAGTTTAACAAAACCTCTTGCATGATTTGAATAACTTTCATGCCCAATAGGGAGAGCATGGAATTAGTAATTCAGGCGTTCATGTTTGATCCTCAGACAAGGCATAATTTCTCTGAGACAAATAACTGGCAATATAGAGTCTAATGGTCATTTGTCTCTCACTGCTGATAAAGAAATTACGTGGGATTAGTAGTCAGGCACTTGCAGAGAAATTATTCACCAGGTAATTATAGTAAGTTATTTAGGAAAGCTGGTTAGGTAGATCAACAGCAAAGATATGACCAAAAACATGTGAAAAAAACAAAACAAACCTCTTGTGGGATTTGGATAACTTTCATGAAGTTTAAATGTCACTTTTTTCACATAGGTTGTCATATCCTGAAAAGATTACATTTTAAATTTATTTTTTAAAGAGTATGAATTTATATGTAATAAAATATCTTTATAAAAATTTAAAATGACAAACTTTTGTTCTTACTGTCAATTAACAAAAATAAAATGTAACATAGAATGTCTTTGAAAATGAATGAAAATAAATGTTCCTAAACAAAATTTATTATGTTGCTATTTTTAGTATGATTTTAATCATTTAGTAATGATTTTGTGCGAAATAAGCTCATTATGAAAGAAAAACATATTTCTTCCTTACAAGTATTAAAATTACAACTATTCTTTTTCCAAAATTTAAACAAAGATTCGTAAATTGCTGACACTACTGTAATCCTTTACCTCATTTTTAAATGGTTTCAGATACACTGTCCACTGGTGAGTGTGGCCATCTTCCTCCCTCTTCTTGCCGAAATATCGAGCTATATTGCCATAGACTATAGGCTTCAATATTGTAACACCCTGTAACAGAAAAAACAAACATACAATAACATAAATCATTTCCATCTGTTGTTCAAAAGAAAAAATTATCTTGTAGTTTCTAATATAACATTATATACAATGTTATTATATCACAAAGCCTACAATTGTCTGTTGATCCATTTAGAAGTTATTTGTCTCCAGAACTAACTGGTGCCATTAAAACTTCTAGTAAAGAAAGCTTTTATGCATTTTACGCATTTTTTTTCGCATAAATGATGGACAGCTAAAAATTTACATCAACATGAATTTTTTTTAAGCTTTCATAAAGAGAATGGTCACCAATAGTGAATTTACTTATACAGAGGTAAAAAGCTAGCCTTTAAATATTTTTAGAGCAAAACTAAGGGTATTATAAAAATGTTCACAAAATCTGAAGAAGTAACACATGATAGAATTCATCTGGGCAAAAATATTTCTGAATTATATGCCCAATATTCTGCAAGTCTAAGTAAAGTGTTTTTTATAAAGCTATATTTCTGCTGCCTGCAGCTAACATATTCTTTGTTTGAATTAAAAAAAAAGTAAAAGTAAAAGCAATATTCCAAAAGGCCTGTAGGATTATGACAGAAGAAATGTGTTGGTATATTTTCTTTTGAGTGAATAGTTTTGTGGCCCCTGCTTGGACTTCCCCGTATTAAGCAAAACTTCTCTTGTCTTGACATTTGAAAAAGATTTAAGGGGGTGGCATTGGCATTCTCTGAGTTGAACACTGCATGGTACATAATAGGCCCACTAACCAGCTAACACTAACAAATCCAATCACCAGCATTTGTTTAAAGTGTTATACTCCAGTAAGCTGGTAAGTGACCCCTGAATGAATGACCCTACATTAAATTCTGTTCACATTTCATATGAATCTTCCATTCTATGTGACTATCGAAAATAACTTTCAAGTCATTCACTTATATACATAGAGATCTACACTATATCCAATCAACAATTATCCGAACACTACTCAACTTACCTTAACTCTGCCGCCACTTTCTTGAGTCACTTCTGACATAGTACCTGATTTGAAAAAGCGTATTTATAATTGAATCATATTTCTATAAGATGATAAGCTAAAATTTCTTACAGTAACGCAAAAATAGTACAAATATCAAAAATTACAAATCTTTTATTGAAACCGGTGCAACGTATAATTTTTGTTTTGTGTGTTGTGAAATTAAAAAGCGGGAAACGATTTGTTTTTCGAAAAGAAAAGTGTTTCTTACTAAAACATCTTAAAATGCAATTGTCGATAATATATCTAACTTGCATGGACCGCGTATAAGTCTATCGTTTTCAATGACAAAAACAACGACGTCTGGCTTGTAGCTATAATGTCCATTTGCGTGACTACTTCTCCAACTAAAGAGTCTATCGAGTATTCTCATAAAACAGTTACTCGCCTTTAACACTGCTCCTCTTTAACCGCTCAATGTCACGCACGGAGCACCACTTTCGTTACGGACTGATTGCGGAAATGAAAGGATTCTGACAAGTCAAATAAACTTTAATTGCCAAATCTGTCGGAACAGTCTGGTAGGAAATAAATTGATAATCCTACGATATTTTTGTCTATTCCAATAAATAAGATGCAGAATGGTCGGCTACTGAAATATATGTTAAACTTTATAACAACTTGGAAATGCAGGTGTTCAAATGCCCGATCAGGCTTATGTGACTGTCATAAATCAAAGTGCTGCAGCACTGAATGCGACGGACATGCAACCGGAGAAAAATTAAGGCTTTTTTAGAAAAAAAAACAATAACAAAACACAAAATATATAACAGAGAAAATTTGTTCCATACAAGTTCGAGATTGTAGAGCAATATATTTTGTGTCCCAATCTGATATAATTCAGATTTTCTACTTTCAAGCATTTAAATACAGAATGAAATTTATGCCTAAAAACTCTGGTCAAACTTGTAAATCAGTGTCCTTATCGATTTATTCCAAGAAATGATATGTAAATAGAAAAAAAAACTGTCAACGAAATATTTCTAAAATAAAACCATGCAAATAAACTTCAAGCATGTGAGAATGCTTCGTGAGTCATTTGTATTTTTATTTCTCTTGGATATGTCTCATTAAAAATAATTTTGGTTAAAATCATCAGCAATTAATAGTGTATTTTTTAGATTTTTTTTTATTTACAAGGCCAGAGCACATCGTTTTTATTTTAATTTAAATGTCACTTAAGCACTACAGTGTTTAGTTGTCCTTTTCAATTTCACACTAAATTCCATTTTCAACTTGTTTGCTTCTTACAATTGTATAGAATTTCTAAAAGTATTGCATGTAATCCGCTGGTTTATTACATGTATATATAATGTGTACTCCCTAATCGCCTGTCCGAAAATCAGCACAGGTGAAGCAGAATCTATTTTTAGAATAGCGAAGGTTAACTCATATCGTGACCTAGAAAAATATGTAAACAAACCACAAGAATCGGAAGTAGAACTGATATTATAACTTCCTTCAATAAAGATTACCATGTAAGACTACATGGTGGTAAAGTGTTGAAAAACTCTCTTGTTACATGCATTTTCAAAAATAGATATTTATACTAATTAACCATTGTGCTGTATCTAATTTATTAATAAATGCTGAATATTCAGCTAAACCCGCGGTATGAGTCACGAAAATAGTTCTTCTTTTATTAATGCGCGAGTTATTCTAAAGTCACGAAAAACTTTTGATTTGTTAATAATAATGTTTTGTATAATGTAGAAATATTTATTTCCTACTAATAGTTTCTTGGAACTCAGAGCTTACACCTTTATTATAGTATAATTTGCTGTCCTACTTTTTAGACAGCGGTAAATCGTTTCCGCAGTAATTTGCATATTGCGCAATAATACTACGGGACTACAACGTTTTTATCAATCATATACGTTCATATTTTAACTTGGATAACTTAATTTGAAATTGAAAAGGCTAAATATGGAAGATTTTAAGATATCCCGACAAAGTATGGGAGTTTTAAAGGATCAAATTCATGTACTATTTCTTGAGCTGTTAATCGGTTGAGGACACTTTGCGCGATTGTAGCCGACGAAATCCCATGTGTAGATGACTTAGCTCTGAACGCGCCTGAGGGCGCGTCCGTCGCAAAAATCATATTTATAGAAAAGAAATAAAGAGCCAAAAAGGGTCAAATCAGGCCTTTTGGAAATTTGAAGGGTCAAAGAGTCATTTCAAGGGTCAAACAGACATCCTGTGTTACCAAATATCATTAAGCAGTTGAAATTCTCAAATGGATATGCTTGGACTAGTCCAGTATATCAGACGTTACTATCTTGCTATAGTTTGTGATGGTCAAGCCCTGCACCAAGAATTAAAAGTATCACAAAGCAACATCATATTTATATGACAAGTTTTGGAGGTCCAACTGTAAACTGTTTGTATTTAGTGAACACCCAAACATTACAGGAATCTTTTTTGAAATGTGGAAAATGGCACATAAAAATATTGAACTGTTGAAAGAATCTTAAGTTTATGATATTTCTAATTGATTTGTATAGTTGTTGTTCGCTTGTTTCATGGTTTTGATTGTGTTTTGGTAACTCAGTATACACTGTCTTTAGCTTTTATTGTGTTTTTAATATTGAAGGGTTTCCCACAGGTGGATTTTCACACAGTTCAGGGCTGGAGGTAGCTTTAAAAACATATGTTGTTCAGGATACAGGTCAGTAAAAATTCAGTAATTTTCATGTTTTTAAGTTGAAATAATCAGTTTATATATTTAATGTTTAAATGTTGTTATTTTTAGGTATTTCTGCCTGATGTTATCTGGTGATGTATGTACAGTCAGGACTCAAAAAAACAAAAACAAAAAAACTTTTAAAAAGTCCTATCATTGTATGTGCTTTTTATTTGATAAAGTTTTATCTATTTCATATCAATCTTTAACTATTTTAGTTGTTATTTTTTTTTAATAAAGTTGTTAAATTATGTGTATGATATTTTATGTGTATAATAAAGTGAACACATAAAAGCAAAAATCTTTTTCATTATAGATGTTCATTATAGATCTAAATACAAAATAAATAATGTTCAAATACCAGTGGATAAGCATATCATTACATGATGAATGATGAAATTATACTGACAAATTCAATATACTGACAAATTCGATATACTGACTTATCTTTTGGGAACCAACAGTGTCATTGTAATGAGTCCTGACTGTACACTTGTAGAAATTGATGTAAGAACATAAAACATAAAAGTCAAGGGGTACATCTATGATTGACCATTTTTCTTTGAGACCTTTTTATTGGTTTGTTGATATACACAGTATTCAGCAATATATATCTTAAATCTATCTTTGACAAATACATTCAACATTTATACATATTTTATTACAGATACATTGAAAGAATTTTTATTATGCTGTCTTGAAAATGGAGGTGAGTATGGAGATGTTTATGTTTATTTCGGATTTGACAAGATTAGCTAGCAAATTTGGAAACCATCATGTTAGTTATCTTGTATATTTTTTATATATTTTCATAGAGTACTGTAATACCAAACACAAAATTTAAATTGCCTTATATCTATAAGAAATTTCATACTTTGAAGGTAATGATAAGAATTATTGGGAAAAAAACTTTTTTTAAGACATTCATTGCATTTAAAAAATGCTCCGAAGGAATATTGCAGAATATCTTGGATTTGCAAAAAGATTAGAGGAGACATTGAGGCTAAGGATTTATTATCTTCAAAACTTTTATATAATGATGGCCATGGGTTAAATACTAATTTAAACAGTTAAGAAAATATTTACATGTGTCAAGAGGTCACATGTATAAAATAAGATATTATGAAAGCATAATAAGATGGTATTTATGTACATGTATACGTTTTAGCCTTTTTTTAGGGTACCTGAAGTTATCATAATTGATATATACATGTATGGTGAAATTATGAAGTATATCAATTTTGTATATGAAAGCAAATAATTAAAGATAAAATGTTTAATATAAGAAATCATCCATTTTTGTAAGCCACTATGTGGTATAAGTTTAACAGTTTGAATCCGTTTTATTATATTATTTCTTCACTGTTTGGGGATAATTTAAATCATTTAACAAGAAAGTGTAACAATGTTGAATTAAATGTTTAATCTGTTTATATCTTCTTATACTTTAAACAGTAATATACAATTTCATTTATGCTTATTTTGACCAGAATGATTTTTGTTTTAAAACATTAATTGAAATCTTTATTTTATATCTGAATTATTTCAGGTTCGTTTATATTACCTTTTCTTAGAGAGGGTTATCTGCAGGTCACCAATATCCAAGCACTTTGTGACCTAGATTCACTCTGTGAAGCCTGTACACCAAATCATGTAGCTAAACGAGCAAGCTCTAGACAGGTAATGGTTAAGCTGTGTTTATATATCTCATAGTTATTTTCTTGCTGACTTTAAATAAATTTGTTAAGGGACATTTCCAAAAAAGTAAGCTGGACAGAAATAACAAAAAAAAAAGATAGCAAAGAGAGATTTAAGTTTATTTTAATCACTCTCAAGCTGATGCATTAATTGAAATGGGATTGAATGTCGTAAAAAATAATGAACTTAAAATATTCTTTATATTTTAGGGTCGGTCCATGCTAGATACATGTGTCAAAGTGTTCAAGAAGACTCCATCTTTATCTGTTTTAAATGACAGTTTACAATACAAACATTTACCTGTAGTGTTTGGTGCAGTGTGTACCACACTAGATATAGATCTGCAATCTTCTTGTACGGCTTTTCTCTTCACAATATTACGGACAGTTCTGGCTAGTGCAGTCCGCCTTGATAAAGTTGGACCAATTGAGGTAATGTTGTTTGTTCAGTAAGTGAGGAGATTTTCTTGATTACTAGTAGTTTAAGTCTTAAAACTATCTGTGTGTCACTGGCAGGCATCCTGTTATATGTTAATCTCAAATCACTCAACCCTAAATTCCCCACACCCAAGGAAAGGAATGCAACTGTTTTTGAAGTGAAAAATAAAATATTAGTAATTTATATGTCTCACCATTAAGTACAGTATAATGTTCTTGGTCGTCCTTAAAAAAATCATAACAAACAGCATCTCTTTGATGAAACATACAAGACTTTCGTTAGCCAGCGAGACTTCAGTGAATAGTTTTGAAACATTAATCTTTCAAGCCTGGTACTTTGGTATAATTCTTATCATTATGCAAACAAAAATTCTGTTAAAATGATAATACTAGTAGGCCAATAGATTTTTGCCCTTTAATAAATTTTTTAAATGTTTTATATAAAAGAAAGGATGTTGGCAAAGGGGTTAATTTATGTATTTTGGCAAGGATCAGGTTCATTGACTTTACACACATACCAATTTAATGTTTAATTAAGATTTTGTTATTGTATATAGTTTGACCCATTTTCATATGATTTGAAAGTTATGTACAGATACTTGTGCGGTAGTTTAACTAATGGCTGCAAGGTGGGGTCTGCTTCCCATAAAAAATTGCCACCTTTTCTTTCATGAGCACGCTAGGTATCAGAATTAAAATTGCCAGGTGTTCACACAATCGTCAAAACTGTTGATGCTGTAAAAATTGTTGAATCAGTCGGTGCTCGTTTTATTTGTGACCTAGGCATTAATGAAACAGTTTTTTTGTTCGAATGGACATAATCGTTGGTGAATATACTGGGATCCTACATATTACCGGACAAAATATGATGTTTTTTCGTTGTAACTTTTATTTAAAATAATAGAAAAGAATGAAATTTTACCTAAATAATTGTGGGTTCTTAATATACGTAAACATTCCTTTATCAAACATAAAATTTAACTTTTTACCGTAGAAATGTGTCTTTAAAGTAGGGCATTAAAAGAAGAAAAAAATCGTGCAGACAACTCAATTTACCGGACATTGTGTTTCAAAATATTTTGAAGTGTAAAATTGAAATTAAGCAAGGAAACTACGATATTGAATGGCAATGTTAAGATACTGGAAAAAACCAGTATGTCACTAAAATAGACACGGCAGCCATGCTTGTTACGAAGAGGCCAATATAGGGGTGTAATTGAAATAAACACTATTAACTCAATTAACGTATTGATTCTTCATGATCCTTAAAAGTATGACACATTTTGATATTCAAATGGAATTCTGTTCTTTCTCATACAATTTCCTTTTGATCATCATGTAGCATGTTACAAAAGCCATAACGTCTATTTTTTGTACATTTCATGTAGAGTTTTCTCCCATGGGCGTAATCCGTTTCCTTATACGTTTTTTAATTTGCATTTCTTTGTAAAAGACAACAACAAGATATTGTTTGAACGAAATTTAAAATTATTTTATCCTTAAAATATGTTACGATTGTCTCCTTAGTTAACTTTGAGAAGAATTAAAAGTAAAATCTATCTAAAATAAGTTAAATAACCCATTAAGGGCCTTAATATTCGGGAATGCGCAGAACAGATTATTCCCCCGCATGACCAGGTCATGGAATTACTAGTAAACTAAAGGGTATGTTAGAAAATAAAGAACTGAATCAACAATATTTGCCTGAGAGTGGTTTTGTTGTTAATTACTTTGCAGTAGAAAGTGTGTGTACGATTCAGACCAGATGATTTTTGAATTGAAGCAAAAAATAAAGCCTTATTTGACAGGAATAGATTTTGTCCGGTAAACTGATTGTCCGGTAAACATGTAGGATCCCAGTATAGCTACAATATTTCAATGTTTCACAAAAGTATAAAAAGAGATCATGGTGTATGTGTTTGGTTTATTTATTCTCAAAACAGATATGATATTATCAATTTGGCGAGCTTATACTTAATTTATAACATTACCATTATTAAAGGGATGTAGTTTAAGTTGCCTTAAATCTTTAGATGGATATATGTGTATGTTAAGGTATGATTGTTGCCTTATTTTCTATTTCAAAATTGTCTCTTAAATGGATAGTGTATGTCATGAATGATTTTGTATTTTTAGGCACAGTCCATTCAAACTGAGCTACAACATGAAATCCCAGCAGTGATAGAAAGGTGAGCTAGTTGTGTGTTAAATATATTGTTTTAGGAAAGCTGTTAAAGCAGCATGCCTGCAGATTCAGGTTAATTTTGATGAAAATTTTGAAAATGTTTTTGAAAGAAAATTTTGTGAAGTGAACAAAGAAAGTAAGTTGTCGGTATGTACTACTGTGAATTCACTTAATTTTGTGGGCATGAAATTTCATGGATTTGTTACAATGAACATTTTTGTTGGTTCTTAAATTCGTGGTGTGTTTATTTTTCAAAAGGATAAAATGTAAATAATGTAATGCAAAATAATCTTAAAACTAACAAAATTAAATTTCGTTGAATCTTAAATTTGTGGATAGACCTTTTCACAAAAACAACGAAAATTAGTTCACCACTAATAATAGTGATTTTGCAGTAAATGCAGATGGTGCTTACAATCCATATATATTATGGAAAAGACATGAATATATTCAAAATTAGCCTTCACTGCATAATAGTAATGCAGTAGATATATGGTGATAAATACAGTGTTCTGCAAAATCAGTCATTAATCCCACATAAATATGTAAATCATTACTTTAACCTTTATCACTCTACTTTCCTTAAAATCTTAGTATATTTTACTCCAGTTTGATTTTCTTAAAATAATTTGGCTCATCTTTAGGCATGCATCTTAAAATCTAGATATCATTTTACACTTTTGTTGTTATTTATTTTCAGGCACAAGGTCAGAAGAAGTGAAGATGCCTGTATGATCTACCCACATATAGACATTGTCCAAAATATGCATGACACAATGTTTTCCAAGTTGTTTTATTCATAATGACATTTTTTCATTTCATGATATGACAATGAATTTCCAGTGTAAAATGTTATATACTAATTGATACATATTTGAATAAAAGTTAATATATTTAACCACAAACATACGCAACATTGTGCAAATGTGATTGTAATGCACTAAATTAAATATTATATTTTAATTAACTTTGTTAGCGATGAATAATTTAATTATTGACATGAAAATTGCCTTGACTGTCAAGGTCAAATATGAAATTTTATTTATATTTTGGTTTATTTTGATCTATACTAATGATGTTTTCTTATAGAATTCTTTACTAAAATAAATTTTGACTTTTTGAAATAAGAAATAGTTGAGCATGCCCCCTGATTGGTGGTGGTGAGTGCTCCAATTTATCTTAAAGGTTAGTGTGATATATGTGTTGAAGAATATGTTACAAATGTACGTCATTTGCTATCATGGTTTTATCAGGATTATTATTATTTGTTGAATAACCACTATATATATTACATGTATTGATAATTAGAGGGAATTAGCATTTTTAACAGTTTCATATATAGAGAAGTAACACAATTTGTATGAAAAAATATATTAAAGAGAAACAAACAATAAAGTTGTTGTTATAAAAAAATGTAGTTTTAGTTGAATATTAAAGGAGTGATTGGCCTACTAGAAATTCAATACATTTTAGTTTCAAAGAGCTTAAAATGAGAAACGAACGGTATAAAGGTTGGTTAGACTGCAATGATATTACAGGGCTCACCTGACTTCATTAGTACATCCTGGCCAGTTATACATTTTATCTTTCAAAACTCCAAAAATATTTTGTACGCTAAAATTCAAATTAAAATTAGATTATGGACTATAAAATACAATACATCTTTGAACACATTTCTGTAAACATGTGATACACTTTTCAATTCATTTCATTGTAAGATGTAAAGCTACTATTTACGATTTAAAAAACTGAACAGTGATACTTTTTACATATTTTTTTTTGGTGTGGAGTCTAAATAAACGTGTCCAATTGGGCTGTAAAAGAAAATGTTCCCATAACTGACAGTTTTTGTAGGCTTACAAACCACTGTGACTGAGGGGTTGCCTTTAATGGTTGAGGCATATGAATCTCAGCCATTTTATCCCTGTGTGATCGTAATAGGCGACTAAATTGGTTAAAATAACTGCAGTCTGTGTATCTCTTAGCTCCAACTGCAGCGCAGGTGAGGTAATTTTGTCCCCTGCTATTTGAAGTTCGTAACATCAGAGGTTAGCCAAAGTCATCTTTCCTGTTTTGGCGCCATATGACCTATATTACGTTGGTGTGCGTAAAACCAAACCAAATAAACAACTGAAACTTTAGAAGCTTTTTTCTTTCAGTTTTCATATTATTTATGTGTTCTTTGTAAAATTAAACTAACTACCAAAAATTGTTGTATACTAATTATAAACAATGCATTTTTAATGACACCTTGCAATATGCTTAAAATATTGAGGTACAATACAAATAATAACATTTATTCTGATATATAAGGGCATAAGAATGTATTTAATTGCTATACTCTATTGCTAAATTATATATATGATAGTGTAAGTTTAATTGGACAGCATTTTACTTTTTGTCTGTATTATTTACAAACGCTCTTAGATTATCACCACTTAGTCTAAACAAATTCCAGTCTTCTTGAGAAGTGAGGTTAATAGATCCTTTAGACTTGTAAAAGTCAATCGATTGTTTATTCCAACCTAAACACACCCAGTCCAGCCTGTTACATTTCCGGTCCACGGCGACTTGTGCTACCTTACGCCACAATGTCGTCCCTATACCTCTATGTCTGTATGTTGGAGTGACGTACAAATCTTCTAGATATACATTCACACCTTCCCAAGTTGAATAATTGAAGAAATAGAGAGCGTATGCAACAAGATTGTCACCATCGGCTGCAACAAGGCATCTAAACATCTTTTCCTCACCGAAACCGTCCCTACGCAATGTTTTTGCATCTATTTTAGGTCCATTTGGCATTTTCTCGAAATCGGCTAGCTCCTGAAATTGTCATTTAAGCTGTTTGAAAAGAAATAAATTGTGCAAATAAGTCTGAAATTGTCATTTAAGCTCTTTGAAAAGAAACAAATTGTGCAAATAAGTATTTGAATTTGATAAATTCTGGCAAAATGATAAAATAAGATCAAAGCCACAATCAAATTTGTATAACAGAGCGAATTACGATCTTTAATATATATATTTCAGAAACTTATCTTTAGTGCATAATAATATAAAACGTTGTATTAAAGATATTTTATGCTCAAATTTGATGTTGAAAATACTGATAATTGATACACAGTTTATTTTTAAATGTTTAAAAACAGAAGATATGTTGCGTTTTAAAATTCATATAGTGTGAAAGGACCAAATTTACTTGACCAATTATAGGGAATGCAGCGTCATAAACATAGTGCTTTTTTTATTGAACTTAGACAAAATTCAGTAAGAACTTCCGATATTAATTTCAATAAATAGCACAGTATATCTTTAAATAGAGACGGATAGTTAATCATGGCTGCAATATTTACTTCCCTTTGTTTAAAATTACATCGCTAGTAGCACAATAGTTAATCAAACTTCATTTATTATTACTATGTTTTTGCTTATTATAAAATAGATTCAAATATTCTGCCGCAAATGATAATGTAAATCTGAAGAATTTACGTAAAGAAAAATGCTGATTTGTATCAAATGCTGATAATGTGCGATCCAATCTGTACAAACAAAAATAAATAAACTAGGTTATAATCATACAACGCATATTTATTTAATCTCAGTTGAATGAAAGAAATGTAATGAGAATACCTGTATCAATTTAACAATTTGATCACAGTCTTCTTTGTTGGCTTCACGGATGATTATCTTACTATTATCCATTTTTTGTGTGTATTACAACAATGCTTATGTGTAGATCTACTGTGTCTAACTCAACGACACACATGTAAACTTTACATGTTTTCAGGGTTAAAATTTAGAACGGGAAAGACAGTGTGTACTGTTTTAAGTAAGGTAAGGTCTTTGGAACAGTCAGTTTGTCAAGGCAAAGACTGCGCCGGTATTAATTGATATTCAGCAAGGAGAGCCAACAAATATCGATATTTTACAATCTAATGAGGCTTATCATTTTCAAAATCGAGTGTGTGGTGAAATGTCTTATTTTTGTCATTTTATAAAATGTATCTTTTGGTAAAATCGCAGATTATTGAAATCCCGCATATTATTAATTTTGTTGTTCTGAGCGTCCTTCCATTTCTTTTTGTGCTCTACTGTAAAAGGGTATGATTTGTGATACAATTATAGAATTAATGAATGAATTTGCAGTGCAGACTTAGGTCCTTTTATTTTTAATAACTTCGATATTTCGTCATATCGCTTCACGAATAGTTCTCTTGAAAGTCTTCCAAGTACGTTTACTGGTAAAAAATTTATGGAAATTCAATGAAGGTAATATTTTCACACTATATTTTTTACAGTGGTATACTCTTCTAGCCATTAAGTTTACGTACATGGCTGCAAGTATCTATGGATTTAATTTAGGGAATACCAAAATCAATACTCGAGTACTCGGTCATTTTTCCGATCGAGTACTCGGTTACTCGGATGATTTCCAATGATCTTTAAAGTTTTATCACACAATATCAACTGCACTTTCGTTTTCTATTTTATTTCATAGAATTCGTAACTATAAATAGGACTGCAAGAAATACACATAAGAAATGTCAATGACAGCAGTTATTATATACCTACAAATACAGGATGAAATTGAAGCGCAAATGGATGAGAAAATTCCGTATCATGTTAGTGAAAAATTAAAAAAG